TGGTTCACATCTACTTTAATATGTGTTGTATACATGAGTTGAGGGGGGAGCACACTGACTTCAAGTAGGGTCCACTTAATGTATGCAACATTTTGCTGCACTTTTTTCTAAATGTATGGTAGGGATGCAGAATGGGTATGACCGAAGGACCTTTAGTATGACCCAAGGATCTCCGGTATGACCCACAGTGAGTAGGTCGGCAGTATTTAAATCAGCTCCCTGTTTGTAGATATCATGTCACCCTGCAAAGCCAATTCAGCAGTCTTTTCAGCAAGGGTGATTGTACTGTATGTGCATACAGACAGTCACAACAGTCATATCCTATACATCTGAATATAACAATATAACACAACAATGCATAGTAAAACAATCAGAAATAAAATCACAGTAATAAAATAAAAAATCACTGAAAAAAATCTAATATTGTTCTTCTAGAGGAATACTACCTTTCTGAAATATTTTTATGTGAAAAATATATGTAATACAGAATCACATTTGCCGACTGAAAAATGCTGCTTTTTAATCACATTTGTGGCTGTATGTACACCCTTGAGTGGTCCTCTTGCTGCAAATGTGTTTTCATATGATTTGGCATGTGTGACCTCTGGAGTGGATGGATGTATTATGCGGTGCTGAGCCTATGGCTTTCAGGGTAATTAGACGTGTTTGCTATGGTAACATCATGGTGGCTGGTGGGAATCTCGGGCCATTTAGCATTGCACTTTGCTTTGTTCTGCTAACCTAATAAAAACCAGTTGTATAATAGAATTGTCTACCTGACAAAGCTATTCGCAGGATTCCACTGGTGATAGGATAGGAGAACAGGGCGACAGGCGTTTCTAAAGTAAGTATTTCTCTTGGTAAACGCGCAGTTGATTTGTATTACACACCTCGACCCTTTTTACGCTCAAGCTATAAATATTTTATGATGCCTTTCAAATAACAGTATAGAAGAGATTTGTTTAGAATTGCCTTATTAAGGTCGTTTGTAATCTCATATAAATTCATGAGTGAATTAAAAAGCATACCTCTCTTTATAGCAGTGATATAATCCTGGCTAGGACATTTTTGGGGAATGTAACACTGATATTAGCGAAGATTCAACAGTCAATAAGGTTCACTTATTAAGAATAGGTAACGCGATATTCCCTTTGCCCTGGGTTGCTCTCAATTTATTAAGGAGGAATGAAACTTTTATAGATTAACCATCTTTATAAATATCTTTTAAAGAGATTTTCCAGGATTAAAGGCCCCTTCTTATCACCACTTGTTACTGTAAATGTGCCTACAGATAATAATGATCCAGATGCTGGGTTTTACATGATTCAGAGGTCAGATACTTAATCTTCCAGCAAGTGCTGTACAGACACACGTGGTTCACATCTAGAAAACGTGCATGCTTGTTCCTTTGTAGAGAGGAACTGAGCGGCAGAGACTTTTTTTTGCTCAGAAAACTCTTTTAGGTAATAACAGGTTCATTTGTGGCACTAATTTTGCAGAGCATTCTGGGATATCTAAAGAGAGCACAGCAGTATCTTCTCCCTTTGTGACTCTCTAGCTTAATTTGAAACTCCATATGGCCTTACATGAATTGCTACAGCTCGCGGTATACTGAGACGCCGCAGCTGGAACGGATCCCGACAATTCTGTCTGGATCCACCCAGCTGTGTGAGTGACAGCTGGCTCTGCCTATCTAGAGGCAGAGCCAGCTGTACCCGTCCGTTCCGCCAGTCAGCGCTGGAGGATCGGGGAGGGGGGGATCCCTGCAGGGAGCCGTGAGTGACAGTCACGGCTCTGCACGGATAGATCGAGAAGTGAGCGAGCGCCGGTATGTGTTCTCTCACTTCCCGATCGATTGAGACCTGTGACAGTTTCATTGTTACAGGTCGGCTCAGATTATGAGGCTGAGTGAAAATCACTCGCCTCATAATTCTCCTTTAAGGTTGTTGAATGGAGGGTGCAGTCGGGGCCACACACTGCTGAATTGGCCAAACAGTGAGCAGTGTATGGCCAGCTTTATAGCAGGAAAAAAGGGATAATAGTCATTCCTCTAACTTAATCAACTTGGAACTCCAACTCTTGGCTGGAAATAGTAATTACCTAATATCCATATCCATATTTTGATATGTATGTACAGTAAATAGAATATAAAAAAACACAGCATGTTGGCTTTTATATATCTACTATGCTAGATTGTTTGTTGCACACCACATCCTATATAAATTCCTCAAGCAGACCTGCTAGTCCATAAGAACTAGGCGATGCATCTCAGAACGGGGCAAATAACACATTAAAGTGACATTAAACCCTCAGATTTTTTAACATAAACCAATACTGTAATTTGTGCCTTACTTTAATCCATGTTTGTTTCCCTTCTCTTTGCTGCTCTTCCTTTTAAATCTGTATCTGTTCTCATGCTGGGGGAGAACTTCCCTTTGCAGTGCTTCTTCCTGTAGTGCTGGCTCAGGTTGCAAACCTACACACAGACACCATGTATTCATTCCAGAGGCAAGGCAGTCTGCTGCAAAACAGAAGTTCTCCCCCAGCATGAGAACAGATACAGATTTAAAAGGAAGAGCAGCAAAGAGAAGGGAAACAACCATGGATTACAGTAAGGCGCACATTACAGTATTGTTTTATGTTAAAAAATCTGAGGGTTTAATGTCACTTTAAGTATGAGGCTGACAAATCCATCCATAAATCGTAATGTTTCATTTAATGAATGAACCCGATAAAGAGCAGCTTCTCTCAGTTTTTTGCATATAGTAAATGCCATTTTACATTTGACTACACATAAAGATTGTAGAAAGTATTATATTGCTACCAAGTTTCGTTTGAGACCAAGCCACAAAAGCACATTTAGGAGAAGAAAATGGCACTTGAACCTTCCGTATGTCATGTCAATGTCTTTGCCCGCTGAGCTAATCCTTCTTAATTATTGATGACCTGCATCATTCCCTGTCCCACACTGATAGATGGCCTCTGGGATTTGCAGGGAGTTGAGAAAGACCAGGCCCAGTGTGGACCTATGGATGAAGGGTGAGGGAGGATCATTTACAAAACATGATGCAATGGGAAGTCAAGCTGCTGTCAAGAGCAAACTGTCTCCAGCCATCATCCTTGAAGGAAACCTGTATTGAGAGAAATATAGGGGCTGCGATTGCTCACCCTTTTCCAAAAATGCTATTTACGTAGCTTTAATGTCACCAATCAAGAATAAGTAGGCAGATTAGAGAAGTCAGATAAAACACAGTACTCTTTTTCTGTATTCTTGCTCTGGACCAGCCAGGTAACTACCATTTTTGTAAAGGGAAGTCCCAAATGGCAGCCTCCTTGTCACTGTCATGTCAGGTTTACTTTAAGGTGCCCATGAATCTGTATTTATAATCTGGCCTGGTGACATTCTCATATGTGTTGAGAGTGACCCAAACACTCATGCAAACTTTGCAGGATGCATCCATAGACATCTAGAGATGGCTGGATCTCTAAAAAAAATTGCAAGTGATGTTCTCTGCCATAGAGCAACCGTTTTACCCACCACTCTGGTGGCCCATATCTCCTCTCCTCGCTTCGTTCCAGCGTTGCAGCCTCTGTAAGACTGTTCAGCATAAAACACTTCCAGGATTGTCGGATGCCTGTGTTCCCAATGTGTGCTGTGGTTCCAGCCTCTGACCCCTATGTCATTACAGGAAGCAATGACACAGGGGTCAGAGGGCATAGCCATGGAGCATGGTGGGGAATACAGGCATCTCACATAAGTGTCTAATGCTGAGGACTCTGATGGAGGCGCAGCACTGGAATAGAGGAAAGATAGGAGACCCAGGCCTGGAAAGGTGAGTATAATGGCTCTTCCATTGCATGGAACTTCAGGTAGAGACTGGCATGGTCAGGCTCTTTAAAAGGCCATACATTGATCAATTTGACGCTCTAGTAAATGGTAATATAAATATTGGGATATGTAGGATTTTACTAGTAGACGATTTTCAGTGTTTTCAACTACCAGAAGCACTTGTAAATAAGGTGCTCACTTGATATGTGCTGCTACATGACAAAAAGTCAGTTTGCAAGTTAGTCCAAAGATGGACATTCTGTACATCTTATTACCTTTGTTCTCCATGGGCCATCTGTCTGTCTTTTAAAGCCTCAATTGCAGCCTTTAGGGCTTCTACAGAAAAATCAATGTTTGCACATGTAGAAGAGGAACTAAACATTCACGGCATTTACTGTATCTGAATGAACAAAGATCAAACGCTTGCTTAGTGCTGCCCTTTGTGTGATGGATTGTCCCATACAACTGATCACCAGGGTAAATTGGTAACATTGTATGCATTAAAATGTTTCTCCACCCAGTTTTCCTATTTAGAGGTCATCAAATGTAAAACAGGCAATCAGAACAAAGGATTTAAATTGGAATGCAATTGTATTTGCTTTCTGTGTGCTTAGTTCAGAACAACCCAGAGTTACAAAGGTTATGGCTATTTCTTATCTGTCTTGGCTGTCATTCAGCTAAATCTGATAAAACATATATGTCGCCTCGCCATATACAGTATACCGTGACTAGATATAGCAGATGGTTTCATGTGTAGGTTTTAGTCTATTGTATTTCGAAGCTTAGAATTTGTCTCCATCTAATGGTTGTTTTTGGAATTTCAGAACTGCATTTTTTTTAGTAAAAAAGTTCTTCACATTTAAAGGGAACTTGTGATAATAGAAATTTGGGAACTTAATTTGCAGGCTCCAGGGATGTCATACTTACCCTGGTTTCATTACCTAGTATTTCAGATTTTACTGGCTGCATGCATGTTCTAAGTCTGCAAAATCCAAGTGAGGATGATGACTCTGGAAACTGCACCTTTAAAATCAAGCCAGCAAGGGTAATTCCAATATTTCAATTCTTGGGGGTTCACTTTAAGTTCTGTGTCATTGTGAAGTAGTTTTGTTGTAATATAATGTTAGATGTATAGCACTGAATGATACAATACTTTTTTTTCTTTCCCTAGGTTGTCCTTCCTACTCGAAAAGGCCAAGTCTATGTGTATGATTCACCCAAAGCGGAGCCACAGGATGAGTATGATGTTCCCAGGCATCTGCTCCCAGCTGGACCCCAGGAGATTTATGATATACCCACCAGGTGTTTAGTGAACAGCTACAGCCCAGAGGTTGGTACTGCCATGGCATACTTCTGTAACATTGGCAACTTATGGTTCTATTTAAAGCTAAACTTATATTTTTACATATCACTCCCCATGTTCCTTCAAGCCTGCTGACAAAAAATGTATTATTCTCATTGCAAGCAATGTACTTACCTGTAATACATTCAAGTGGACCTTCACTGCCCAGATCCACTTTGGCTCCCTTTAATACACCTCCTTCGAAATACAGCTTTGTTTAACAAAACGTAAACAAAATTTTTATCTGGCACCCATGCCAGTGCCTTTCTCGCCTAGACGAAAATGACGCGCCTGTTCTCGCAGCCTCCTGGGATATCCCCGTCCCAATACCAGGAGGCTGCAGGAGCAGGGACTCGAAGCAGCCGGTGGGCAGACCTGGCCGTACATTAATGGGGACCAGCTGCAATGCATAAAAGAGATAGCTGGCAAGAAGATGATGGAGTGGGTGCCGCACTTAGAACTGGAGTACATGAGCTCCAGGTTTTGCGGAGCAGCCAGGGACTGGCACGGGTAGGAATCAGGCCTGGCACACCGGTCACAGGGAGTTTAAGGACACTGGGGATGTAGGGACTAGGTGACTGCACATTATTGTGGGTGTGCTAGAGGAACAAACTCTAAAGAGAGCAAGGTCTTCCCCAGAGCCCCTGATGGTGGGGATGTTGCGCTGCAGGACAGCTTCCAGGTTGCGGCCCTCTAACCTATGCAGACACAGCTACAGGATAAACTGGGAAATAGCACTGCAGGGATACCTGGTAAAAAAACACACAGGGAAGAGACTAATTCCACCCAAGGAACGTGATACTTGTGCACGGTAGGATATGGCGGAAGATACACACAGGGAATGTGCAATACATTGGGGTACAGGAGGGTAAACGCAGGAGACATGCATGCACAGAGGTACAGGATTCAGTGGCAGGGACACACAGGGAGCGTACGTCGCAGAAGGTGCAGGATGCACAGGAAGACGCTCGCAGAAATGTGCATACACAGAGGTTCAGGATTCAGTGGCAGGAACACATAGGCAGTGTGCATTGCAGAGGGTGCAGGATGCACAGGAAGATGCACACTGAAGATATGCGTACACACAGAGAGGTTCAGGATTCAGTGGCAGGAACACGAAGGGAACACACGGGATGTGTGCGTTGCAGAAGGTGAAGGATGCACAGGTTACAGGATCACAAGGGAACACAAACAGCACTGCTAAGCAGAAAACACACAGCAGGCTGAGGCACAAAATAAGTAGGTAGATAGGGAGAGCAGACACTCAGGAGCTGGAGAGGGGAACACTAAAGCAGTGCAGTGGAGCAGTCAGTACAAACAGGCTCATAGCACACAGGTAGATGCAAAGGAAAAAACGCAGGCAATATACTCAGGAACACACTGGGAATACAGAGGGAACAAACCATTGGAAGCAATAGAGTGGGAAACCCAGCCACTTATGGGAATACACAGGAGTACACAGAAGGCAGGGGACTCCTGGGAAGCATGGAAAACATGGGGATCCTTGGAAGCAAGGGAAGACTCGGAAGCACAGGGATACTCCAATATACGGGCCTTTGGAAATAGGAACACAGGGGGTCCAGCAGCCAGTATACTGACTTGTTGCTTGCACCCCGAGCAACAGGTGAACTGGCTCTATAAGGGAGAGGCCAAGGGTAGATTAGCTGTAGGGCTGCGACCTTCAAGCCAAGCACCTTGGACAGGGGGAAAAACCGAAAGAGCACAGAGGGTAACACCCCTTCAGGGGGACCAGGTAAGTGTGACAGTGGGACTGTGGCTTTGGCAGTGGATGTTCAGATCACAGCAGGACAATGTTGGATTCATTGGGCTGATGAGTATGTTTTCTAGAGCAGTGGTAGGAGGGAGCCTCCAGGGACCGGTCTAGCAGCCAGCTGGCTCTGAGGTTTGGGTGAGTATATATATTTTTTTATTTTACACCCTAGAGGAAAACAAGCACTTAACCCTTTCAGTGCTGGGGTAACCCCGCTACAGTGGTTAAGATTTTTTAATGAAACTATTGTCCTTACAAAGACATTTAATAAAACTTTATGGAATATTAAGTTTGGAAGTATTGTTAATGTTAAAAATCTAACAGCTTTCTGGGTTCTCTTAGGTTTATGACATTCCACCAATGGCAGTAAAAGGCCCCGTCAACCGAGACCAAACCCAAGAGATTTATGACATCCCTCCCAGCGTGGAGAAAAACATGCAGGAGCAGCTACAGTCTCATTTAATGGTAAGTAGAAGCAAGATGATATCCTAGAGACCTGATGTCCAACCTATGCCCCTTTGGGACTGATTGTGCGGCCCTCGGGGCCCCTGCAGACAGTCTGTGTTTTTCTTACCTAGGTGCTTTCTCAAAACAGTGAAGGAAAAATATCCTTTAGACCAGCTTACAGGAAATGGGTCCGTTTATTTCTTTCATTCTATCTGAAATAAAAAGATTTTTTGAGGATAGAAGAACATGGTGCACATTCCAAGAGAAGCAACCAAAAGAAAATGTTACATTAAGAGGACAATGGGATACATTCACATGAGACAAAACCAGAAGAATTGCTCAGCAGCAGCCGGCCAGCAGCATCGATGGGTCTTTGGAAAGCATTCTGGTAGTGTACCAGGGAGTCACAGCAAAGCTTTGTATAAGCATTTGCTTCAAGTTGGCAATGTATCAATAAACAACTCCCAAACTTTTTTCACACCCTCTGACTTTTTTCTGTGCTGTTCATCCGTTTTCTCTCTTTGTTTTTGCTTTTTTTTTACATCTGATCTTTTATAGTGGATCTTGCGGTGAAAAATATCAAAGGTGGAACAAGTCATTTTTAAAGGTGGCTGTAAAAAGCACACATGTGGCAGTATTGATTTGTAAATGAATTGTAATAGTACTGATATGTAGAAGTCTCATATAATGTGCCTGCAGTGTATGACTGTCTCTTGAAGATTTCCCAACAACTCCTATGGTATGTTCGCAGTCTCTGACCATCTCTGGTACTATGCCCATAGTCTTTAACCATCTACTGTTGTAAGTTAGCAGTCTTTGATTGCTTCCTGTGGCATTAGTGTCAATGAATATTATGTGTGGCCCTTTGGTGATATCAGGGGCCATACCTGAGGCCCACTATGTCAAATAAGTAGACCACTTAAAAGACTCCTCAGTACAAACCTCATCAGGGCTACCATAGGACAGCAATTCCACACCAAATTGTGGAACATTAGCTATACCACCAACAGTACTGCTGTCTCGTCAGATAGATAGATCTTTGGTTAAATAGAGAAAGCTATAATAAAATTAGAGGTGCACCGAAATGAAAATTTCTAAACCGAAACAAAACCAAAATTTAAAAAAATGTCAGGCCGAAATCGAAAATGTTTTTTACTTGAATTTTTCACATTTAAAAAAAATTGTATTTATTTTTTACATTTTTTTAATATTTATTTTTATTTATTGAATCATTTTTTATTAAATTTTTTTATTTTTTACTTTACTTTTAGGGACTCTGGGGGAAATATTAGGGGTCTAAACAGACCCCTGATATTTCCCTTTTAAAATAGAAAAAGAGATTGATGACACAATGTTATAAATGAATAGGAATATGAGTGTTCCTGTTCATTCATAACTTGAGAACAAAGTATGTTTAATATAACCACAACTATGAATGAACAGGAGGTGATGTAGATCACTTCCATTCATTCATAATTGAGGATATAGTAACCATACTCTGTCCTCAATTATTTACAAACACTAACTGATCGCTGAGTGTGTGTACCTTGCTTTTCTCTCTGACACGCTGTCACAGGAGGCCGAGCGAGCGGAGCTCAGCCTCCTTTGACAGCGCTGGCTGTCTCCGCCCACACATTGCTCGGCCGATCTGTGATAGGAGGCGGAGCGGTGTGGGAGGATAGACGCCGGCCGCTCACAGCACTCTCCTCCCGCAACGCTCAGCCGCCTGTCACAGTTTCTGTCCTGCCCGCGGGGGACACAGAGCAGCGCCCAGCGGGGAGGAGAGAATAGGATGCAACGCTGTATCGGCCAGAAAATTGCACTTTCGGCATTATGCCAAAAGTGCCATTTTCGGCCGATATGTTTCTGCAGCCAATATATCGGTGCATCCCTAAATAAAATAGATGCTACACCAAACTGTGGAATAGTAGGTATAACACCAGCAGTATCACTGCTTCGTCAGATTGATAGATCTGTTGGTTAAACAGACAAAGCTATAACAAAATAAATTATATTCTCTGTAAAAAAGTAATTTATAAAATGAATATTTACTGAGTACCAGCAAAGCAATACAGTTTTGTGTCAGTTCACCAAAGCATAATACATGCAGTATTTATTACTGTGTGCTATCTGCTCAGAGGGAGACAAACTAACAACGTATAAAATATTGATTCATGGGTTATAGAGATTATATGTTCATTTCATGTGGAAAAATAACACATTCAAATGAACGCAACATCTATTTTTGTGAGCTGAACATAAGATGAGATAGAATAATGCATACATAAAGTAAGTCAGCTGATAACCCAGCGATAGAATACAGCTTTGTGAATTGATGCTGTTAGGTTATGCACACCCTATAGATTAATAAAATATCCCAGGACCTCCTATATGCTTCTAACAAAACTTGAATGTTTGTTCTGTGCAAATATGTGGCAACAAGAACGTTCTTTAGTTGTGTCTTTACATGGGAATGTATTTTTGCTTATTTTTGTTATGTAATATCGCATTATGGCCCTTAGATGGCGCTGAGGAGTATAGAAAATAAATACTCATTTCCCATGAATTTAAACCTCCATCTAGTGGCCATAATGCGATATTACATAAAAACATTCAAAAAATGTTTTTCACTTGAGAAAATGAAAGAACATTTATTTTGGCATTCATTCGCACAGACCAAACATTGACAGATATTTGCAGGGTGAATGGCCTGGCATCTTGTTTATAAATAGACCCCATCATCTGTACCTTCTGAGGTATGTGACTGTCTGACTGGCCATACATAGATTTTTGTACATACAGTAAATGAATAATTTTGTCAGAACATTCGATAATGCTATCAGAGACTAAACAAATGTGTTTTAAGTTCTGTTTGATTTTAACAAACAATTTTGGAAATTAATGGAGTTTCCCAAACGAAAACCACATTCACTGTTGGCATTTCATCAGGTCAAAAAAAAATTCCATCCCGCTCCTTCAACTTTTTTCAACACTACGATCGTCAGTTTGACCCCATCAACTATTAGAAAATCAAACGAAACTCTTCTTGTGTATGGCCAGCTTAAGAGACCCCAGATTAACGAAAACCACTGTCAGGGAAATAACTATCAGCTAGGGTCACTATGTCAATGCTGAGGAGGAAGTAGTGTGTTGGGTCACATGCACATAAAGAATATGTCTGGGAAAAATATTTTATATAATTACATGTGTGTTACTGCCAGGAGACATTAATCTGTAGACTGCTCCAAAAATATGCAAGGTTGGTTTAGTCAATGCCCTATCATATATTTACGTAGCACTGCTCCAGTCCAATCCCCCCAAGAATTAAAAACCTCCTGGAAGTCATTATTTGCATAGATATACCCCCCTCCCCCCATTTCCCCATCCCCGAAAAAATGGCCTAGCCATTGTACTGTTTAGTGCTGATGTGACAATGCACATTTTGCCCCTTGTCTTGGTGTTCAGATTTTACATGGCTTGAGCGATCAATCCAGGGGTGATGATGGGATCTCTCAACATACCTCCTAACAATCTGCAGTATTACTTTGCTATATATTACTATGTTACCGTGCAATGTGTAATCCTGTAAATCAGAGAGATAATAATAAAACTAATGAATGAGCTAATGGTTTGATTTATAGGTAAACAGCTTCAAAAGATGTGTATTTCTAACAGGTAATGTATTTTTATTCATGGGATGTTACAGAACCGATTAATCATTTCGGTGCACCAGTCCACAAGAGGAATCACTTGCTTACTGATTTCATTAAGTAAATGTACTGTAATTATTCATTGCTTCTGCACTCTGGACTTTCAAAGACTTATTGTCTGCAGTGTTTAATCTTCAGATTGTATGCACAAGCAGAATAGAGCACTGTGCACTCAGGGGATGAGCGGAAAGCCTGATGGACAAAACAAAACACTGAAAGGAAAGTGTTCCCTCTAAATGCCAGTCAGATTCCATTTTTCTTTATTCTAGATGAGAAACTACTTCTCTTTCCACATTTTGTTATCTACATGATTTTTAGAAGCTTTTTGTAAATCTATTGCAGATTAGCTAATGAGCGCAAAGGAACCTTGAATTGACCCACGTGAGCATCATTATTCACTTAATTCCATTGGAATATACCAATTTGCTCAATCCAGATAGCACAAATAATGAATAATGAGTGAATTGGCAGTGTATACAGAAGTAGATAAACTTTCTTTCTACCTTAAAGGAGAACTATGGGGTGAGTGAAGTAGTATACGAACAGACCGCATTATCCAGAGAATTCCAATACTTCAGACTTTATTGAAATTCACAGCAAATCCAGTACAACCGTGAATAAAAGTGCATAAAGCAACACATGCCAGCACTGCACACCCCCGACCAGCTACAACCTCTCACATGTTTCACCCGTAGACTTATTCATAGAGGCCCTTGGCTCTACATATGATGGGAGTGAGTTACACTCATCCTCGTAGTTAGAGCCAACATGTGAGAATGAAACTGTCACAAGTCGGCTCTATTGATCGGGAAGTGAGCAAATACATACCACCTCACACTCATCTCCCTGCAGGGATTCCCCTCTCCGATCCTCCAACACTGACTGGAGGAACGGATGGGAGAGAGGGTGGGCACAACTGGCTCTGCCTCTAGATAGGTAGAGCCCGCTGTCAATCAGCTAGTGGGATGGATCTTTACAGTATTGTTGGGATCTGTCCCGGCTGCGGCGCTCTCAGCATATAGCGAGCAGCAGTCTGCTATACACTAACAGGGTTATTCACTAAAGTGTGAAGAGTTTGGAGAAGGCAGGAGAAGTGAACAATCTAGGCCAAAATAGCTGAACTGGAAAAATACTCCAATTCAGCTCACTTTCCAGTTCAGTTATATTGTCCTAGATTGTTCACTTCTCCTGACTTCTCCAAACTCTTCACCCTTTTGTGAATAATCCCCTAAGTTTTGGGTTACGGGAGGACTTTAGTATATGTCCTCCCATGACCCTAAAGAGAACTATGCGATAAAAAGGTTACCCCATTAATCTTTTTTAAAGAGACACTGTCACCTTGCCCATTCAGTGCAAAGCATTTAAAAAGATGAGAGTGCCACAAGTGTATCAGGATTTATCTTGACAAGAGGACTGAGGATATAGCCAACATGATTGTGAATCTCACAACTCCCTCTTCATCAGGGCTTGTGTGCTGCCAGTTTTTTGGGTATACTGGACAGGCAGAAGTATAAAACGAGGATTAGAGAGATCGCAGGTAGCTAGTTTAATAGCTGCCAGACTGGCTATATCCTCAGGTCTGCTGTCAAGATAAATAAAACTTTTGCTGGACTTCATACAAACTTGTGACGCTCTTATCCTTTTTTTAATATTATTGGGATCACTCCAGGGACTCTTCAGGCAGGGATGGACAAATTAATGTCGAATTCAGTAGCCAGTGTGTCCAATCCAGGAACCAGCTCCACTGAGGACAACTACAGAAAACCTCAAAAGTTAAGCACCAGCTGTAATTTGTAAGGAGCATTGGATACTTGGTCCCTGGGATTTGTCCAGCCCTGTCTTAGGGCTATCCTAGCTGACAGAGAGCTGCCCATACGAATGTTATACCTAACCAATTTCTCACTCTTCTGTGGGTCCAGCACTCCATCAATCTGCTTTTTGATTGAGGACAAAGTGTTTTTAAAGGCCTGCCCCAATTGTACTCACCAGTGCTCTCTTGTAGCTCCTGCCTCCACTGCTGCTGGATAAAAAAATGGTGGCTCTGGGTATAGGGAAGCATGTGGTTCCCTTCACATGACACTGCTCAGGTCTAGCAGCCAATCAACTCCAACTCGGGTGACAAATTCGTTTTGGTTCCGGGTATGGCAGGAGCTGCAAGGAAGTGCTGCTAAGATAAGTAAACCCAGGCTGGGGGTATCCTTTACATACACACTGTCACCTAGCCGTGAATGGCCATAATCTGTCCACACTTAGTTAGATGTAGTTTTAGATTTGATCTGCCAAATTCTATAGTGTGAGGGCTGGATTTCTAGATAGGCCCCCTCAGCTCATAACTGCTGGTAAACTATGTTGACCTGACAGATTACATCTGAAACTATATCTATGGACTTTACTTGGTTGCGGCCTAAATTCTATTCTGTATTCTATTCACTGAAAAGCTGTGTTTTTATTTGTTGAATTAAATGTGCATTTGCGACTCACAAATTACGTTTCTGAAATGTACGTTTGATGATGTGATCTGTCATCATCTGACATTAATACCTAACATGAAGCATGAAACCAGTGTTCAGTAAAACCATGATTAATATTAAAAAATTAGACTCAATCATTTGCTTTCCTCCTACAGTTGATGAATCACTAGATGGTTATGAATCAGGAATATGGTATCTGGCCACAGAGCTCTTTAAAGAATCTTCTCTATTCAAACTTGGATTATTTTTCAAGCATTAGAATATAGCAGACAGGACATTGGCCCCAAAAACTGTACATCTTCTTGGACTTGGAGGGTAGTGGCATAATGCACACATAAAAAGGGAAAGTGGGTACTCATTATTCAAATGAAATTAGAATTAAATTCGGTTAACCTGATGATTTTTTTTTTATCCTTGCTTAGTATATAACCAAGTAAAACAGGAGCTCCTAATGATTGGGAGCTTATTTCATTTTCCCAGGTTGGTCTTTTATCTTGAAGTGACTTCTGTATCCCCTGTCATCAACCCTCCCACAGCCACTGACTATTTTTGTGTAGGAAAAGGCTTTACGTGGAATAGAAATATTATATGTAGCAGTTTACTGGTTAACTATTCCTACCAACAGTTTACGTGTTCACTAAGAGATACCATGGTGGCTTTTCCTATATTCTGTGTTCTAAGGCCCTTAGTTATTCATTATTTTCTACTCAAGACTTCACTTTCTCTAAAATTGACCATATAAACTCTTTAAAACTGACCCTGGATCATCATGCAACAGCCTTAGTTGGGTGTCTTGATCTAATGCTGTGAAAGTTGGTGCAGACATCAGTAGCTGTTCACATGAAAAATTTTAGTTTTGGTCATGGACTATGTTTTCTTGATCTAATGAAAAGTCAGGCATTTCAAGTAATAATATTTATATGTGTATAGCAAAGAATTTAAAACGGTGTATTGTTTTACTCTATTGTAATCAGGTAGACTTGGAAAGGTCATGAAATAGTTTTCTCTGAATGGCTGATTGTGCTGTTAAAATACTTTTTTTTCCAGCTTTGTATTTTTTTCTATTAATATTAACATTAGGTAACTGCATGCAGTAGAATTTAAGGTGATGTCAACTAATTATGCTAGTCGTGACTTGCATCATTAACATAATAACACTGCCCCTTTATTCCTACAGATTTATGATATTCCACCCTCTGTGAGTAAAGATGTTCCAGATGGTCCTCAAAGAGAAGACACCTATGACTTCCCACCTGCTTTCTCCAACCAAAAAATGCAGCATCCACCTCAGGCTCCTACTCACATCCATGATCCTGAGCCGTACATCCCTGAAGATATCTATGATATTCCTCCTGCTGCTGTTAAGGGCAATGATTTATCATTTTCCCAGGAGATATATGACGTCCCTCCTAGCTTAAGGAAACCTGCGGGACAACAAAATTTCCATGATGTTTATGATGTTCCGAGAGAGTTCCATGTTGGAAAAGCCTCACTGGAGACAGAGTCGGATTATATATATGATGTTCCTCCTCAGGTTGATAGGGAGGTCAAAGCTGTTGATGAACTGGCTAGCAGCTTTAAGAGGCTGTCTGCTTCCAGCACAGGTAGCACCAGAAGCAATATTTCCACATCTTCTCTTGATACAATTCCAGTGAAAGAATCTTCTGTTATTCAACCAAAGACTGCAGGGAAGGAGCTGAACCTTGATTTAGATGCTGCCATGGAACTGTTGGTAAAGTTACAGCATGGTGTCAATAGTTCCATCTCCTATTTGATGTCCTTCATCAGCAGTACTTGGAGAAGTCCAGAGCAGATGGAAACCAATGCACAGAGCATCCAGGCTGCAGCGGAAGGGGTGAAAACCACAGTTAAAGAATTGCTGGAATTTGCCAGAGGAGCAGTAGTAAACTCAATTCAAGCATCTGACCGGACTCTACATACCAAGCTCAGCAAACAATTACAGAAGATGGACGATGTTTACCAACACCTGCTTAAGCACAGTCAGGCATTAGATAACTGTAATTGGGCCATGAATGTTTTGGTAGCCAACAAACAGGGCGCTTCAGATGACCTTGATCGCTTTGTCATGTATTCCAGGGGGATACCAGATGACACCAAACAGTTGTCTTCTTTTCTACATGGAAATGCTTCCTTGCTCTTTAAAAGGACCAAGCCTCAACTTGCATTAGGAGAGTCCCAATCTGGGCAGGACAATAGCAATCATTTAGCTAATAACAATAATAATTTATCTGTTGGTCAAACAGGACACACAGAAAAGGCCAATATACAGTCAAGGCCTTTGCCATCTCCACCCAAGTTTATAGCAGAAGGGTCCCCGGAAGGGCAATATGAAAACAATGAGAGCGGCTGGATGGAAGATTATGACTATGTCCATTTACAGGTGAGTGTACATACAAGTATATACCCTTCTGGGTACAAATCTGATTCAGTACATTTATCTTTATGCCGTTTGAGACAAGAACAATGCTATACACCTAGAAATTATTTGACATCAAGTTGAAAAGTTTCTATGTCCAAGGTCTGTGAAGCTCATCCAAGACATCATATACTGAGTAGTAGTCACATTCAGCTGTACTTGTTCTTTAGTGTAATCACTACTATGTATTTATTAAGTGTTTTTCCAATAATCTGTAGCAAAGCCCTGCACAGCCTGATCTTCACAGGTGGTGCTCATATTGGTCCAGAATTTGGTTGACTATGCTTAGTCAAAGGAACACATTTCTATGCAAGTAATTAAACATTTATTGTGTAAAGGTTAACTTGTCTCACAGTAGCCTGCCAGCTCCATCCTGCATTGTGCCTAGTTCAAACATATTTTAAAGCCAGTGGTAGATTACATATCCTGAGGGAGAGCAGAACATAAGCCCAGTGCTTTTTGTCTAGTCCTGAGAGATACAAAATGAGTAATATAGAACAGGTGTGCCTCAGGTCTTCTCCAGATCAAAAGGCAACCTATAGTAAGATCCTTCTCACAGGACTATGGGATGTTGTATTACTAGCTCTAATAGCTCTTACACAGAAACACTTCTTGATATTTGTTGTCCAGGGGTGTAAAGACTGTTGTAAACCAAAAAAGGCCAAAAACAGTATATCCGGTATAGTTAATTTTTCTATGTTTGTATTATACATGTTAATAAAAAAAAAGCAGAGGGCTGATCATATGGCAACGCTAAGGTACTACATGAATAAACAACTTCTATCAATACACACCAGTCAGAGCCTGACTATGTGGGTGCATACTTGTTCCGGGTCTTCCTATAAGTGGAATTTGTCGGCATGCTAAATTTCCTGCAGCCTTTAAATGAATGTGCAATTGTCTAAAGGCTGTAAGTTAGCTCTATGTCAGAATCAGCCTTCACAGTGATGCTGAACAGATACTGTCATTTTGTCAATTCTGTTCAAAGTGGCAGCGTCTCTTGATAGCCACCTACCCAGGACGTTATACTTACTGATCCACGCTACTTCAGCACCTTCCTGCTCAGTTAGAACCCTCTTTCTTTTGTTCTAACATGTGACCTGCCCCGTGTGACAGTTTTAGGTCCAATGAACTAATTGGCAGGAGTGAACACTGCCACATGGGGGGGTTCATCCAGCTAGGTAATCCCCAACACCAAAGCTTACCCAGGGTGTAATTCTGCATTGGGAAGGCACTTAGGGAGCAAGGTTTGCAAAGTATACCTTGCAGGAAGGGGGGGTCTAAAGTGAATAACCAAAATTACATTGGCTCTTTAATTGGTCCAAAGCTACTATATACCCAAGAGTCAGACACTGGTGGGTCTCATCACAGGCTTCTTTCCTCATACTAGACATGAAAATCGAAGTGAGCCTGTCCCCAATGTAAAAAAAAAATTGAAAAGCACAGAATTTAAGATTTTTACAAACTTACTTGCAGTGGTTTTCCTTTTCATAAATTATTTCTTATTCACTTGTAATGTGCCTTTGAACTTTTTAGAACATGTAACTACACAATTATCTAGCACAGCCCTTTCCTTCCTTGCACATCATAGTCCTTTCCTATTCTGGGAGTGCCTAGTTACATTTGAGCCCTCTTTCTTTTGTTCTAACATGTGACCTACCCCATGTGACAGATATAGGTCTAATGAACCAATTGGCAGGAGTGAACACTGCCACATGAGGGGATTGGGACTTCATTCAGCCAGGTAATCTCCAACACCATCCAAGAGCCAAGGGGAATACTACAGAGCAGTGGTGGCGAACCTTGGCACTCCAGCTGTGCCATCCAAAGCTTACCCAGGGTGTAATTCTGCATTGGGAAGGCACTTAGGGAGCAAGGTTTGCAAAGTATACCTTGCAGGAAGGGGGGGTCTAAAGTGAATAACCAAAATTACATTGGCTCTTTAATTGGTCCAAAGCTACTATATACCCAAGAGTCAGACACTGGTGGGTCTCATCACAGGCTTCTTTCCTCATACTAGACATGAAAATCGAAGTGAGCCTGTCCCCAATGTAAAAAAAAAATTGAAAAGCACAGAATTTAAGATTTTTACAAACTTACTTGCAGTGGTTTTCCTTTTCATAAATTATTTCTTATTCACTTGTAATGTGCCTTTGAACTTTTTAGAACATGTAACTACACAATTATCTAGCACAGCCCTTTCCTTCCTTGCACATCATAGTCCTTTCCTATTCTGGGAGTGCCTAGTTACATTTGAGCCCTCTTTCTTTTGTTCTAACATGTGACCTACCCCATGTGACAGATATAGGTCTAATGAACCAATTGGCAGGAGTGAACACTGCCACATGAGGGGATTGGGACTTCATTCAGCCAGGTAATCTCCAACACCATCCAAGAGCCAAGGGGAATACTACAGAGCAGTGGTGGCGAACCTTGGCACTCCAGCTGTGCCAAAACTACAAATCCCAACATGCATCTGCCTCTGGGAGTTATTTCTGTGGCTGTCAGAGCCTTGCAATGCCTCATGGGACTTGTAGTGCCAAGGTTCGCCACCACTGCTATAGAGTGTCACTTGCTGGGGCTGCTGACATCACATCCAAGATGGAGGCGCCCAGCAGCAGCCTCAGGGCTTTTGGACATCTCCACCTGGCTGGCGTAGCCATGTAGCCAGAAAGCATTCCAAATACTGATCAGCCAGAAGACAAAACTCTTGCTAGCAAGTCATGGCTTTCTGTCTGTGTAATCTGCAACTTTGATGAAACTCGCGAGGTCAAGAGAAGGTGAGATGATGGAAGCCACTGCTTCTTTAATTGATATAAGACTTTCCCTCATTCCAAGTGGAGAAGGTTTAATTAATCCTGACTTTAATTATTTCAATCACTTTGCAAACTCATGCACATCAATAGAGGAGCCGAGGTTTTCATGCCATCTGGCGACAACTGCAGACGTACGGTCAAAATGCTGCGTCTGCTAAAATCAGAGTATCCTGTTTAGTTGGCAGGCAGGCTGTTTATTTAATGATATTTACATTTTGCCGCTAAAGGTCTGTCGCTGTAGAACACTGAATAATGCCTCCAGATTGGGAAAGCTGTTCTGATACATGGCTTAAAGGAGACTGATAGAGCACCTCACTGAAAATCTGCTGAATCAGCAGCAAGACTCTTGTTTTACCTTTCACTGTTTGTGCAAAATGAGCATCTCCCTACAGAGAGGGAACGAGAGATGCTGTTCTGCAGATTTCTTCACATGCAATCATAAACTGCTTACTCTCTGCATGTACTTGAGGTTGTATTGTGTTTTCGATGGCAGCATCTGAAAATTATCAAAGCAGAACCTGTAATACCTTATGATGCTCTACCTGTATTATCCTCAAAAAGTGCCGACATCACATTTATTTATGTTTATCCAATAGATTGTAAGCCCTCAGGGGCAGGGCCCTCCTTACCATCTTGTCTTGAATTGTATTGTGATTGTAATGTCTGCCCTACATTGTAAAGCGCTGCGCAAACTGTCGGCGCCATATAAATCCTGTATAATAATAATAAGTCACTCCAAATGATAGTTATGGCAAGCAAAAAGGGAAGCCTATTTCAGCTTACTGTTATATGATATTATTGAAAGTTACTGAATATATCATTAGAGCAGTACATAGAAATGAAGTGACACAGATTATTGGGATTCTTTCATAACACACAGCAACAGTGTTTAATAACTCAAAGCAGCCTCTCAGAAATAAGGTTTCAGAATCCTGGATTTGGCCCCTTTCACATGGACATTCCGATCAGGTCAAATAATAGTTTTTAAAGCGGATCTGATCATAAGCCCAGTGTTAGCCTGTAGGCAGTAGGCAGTCAGATCTAAATGGACGTGTGTCCGTTTTTTATCCGACTCCCCGTAGACCTAACATGGGTCCAGTAAGTTCAGGCTCTTCTGCCATCGCAAGGTGGAGGAAAAAACTAGATGGACATGGATGTCACAATGTTGACATCTGTTCCGAATCACTCCAATCAGCAGGGGATATATGCACAGATTTCCTGCTGATCGGAAATTGACAGGCCCCCCGTGTAAAAACGGGCCTTAGTTTTACAAATCTTTTACTCCATATAATTGCCTTTTAGACAATAAGAGTAAACACATTTGTATAACTTTAAAATGCTCACTACCTTTTTGGCAACAAAACCCAAAAACATGCTTAGGGGCCCATTTATGAAGCAGGGGTATGCCACTTCTTTTCTGAAAAAAATACCCCAGGACATTTATAGAGCTCAGCTGTGCGTTTCACCAATGCGTGTTCTCCTCTGCTTGCTTCAGTACTCAGAGGCAAGCAAAACATTAATTGTAATGAATGAGGAAAAGAAAAAAGTGGCAGAAGCAGGAAAACTGAGTCAGATGACCTGTCAGAGTCAGATGACCTGTTATAGAACATGTGACTGAGCTTGCCTCCTATCATAGAGCTACTATGAGGAGAACAATGTGATGGACACCACAGGCTCCGTGATTGACCGTGTGAAGTAAACACTGTGGTATCCTACAGAGATTGGACTCCATTATAAATAGCCCCATGGAGTTACAGTTTTCAGATGAATAAATCACCATGTATTATTATTATTATTATTATACAGGAATTATATAGCGCCAACAGTTTGCGCAGCGCTTTACAATATAAGGAAGACATTGCAATCACAATACATTTCAAGACAAGATGGTAAGGAGGGCCCTGCCTATGAGGGCTTACAATCTAAAATATACTTACTGACCTTTTCCTGGGTTATGTCTTTATGGTGTTCTAAGTTAAATTTCCTGCCAGCTAAATAAGACCTTTAAAAGTCCTCAATGAATTCGAATTGGGTAACAAATGTGTACCTTGATAATGCATAGCACCATATTTGACATGTGTCCACATGTCATGTGACATGTGTCCACATGTCTACTTGAGATTGCAAAGCCGAACTGGGAAGTGCTTCCTCTGTGCTCTCATGCTGTCAAAAATGTAGTGTCGTTGGTAAATGATTGCCAGTTTCCAACGCTGATTGCTGGACAACAGGAGCATGGACAGAAGTCGAACATGGTGCTTTGTATTTAGTAAGGTGCAGGTGTTATTTGGCTGTTTAAAGTTCATTGATTTCTAATGTGAACTTCCACTTGAACAAACTCTGCAAGCCTTCATCAGTCCATAAACAAAGGGTATTTGTAATCCCTCACTCTTTAAGCATTTTTAGCATGCTAGAGTTAGGTAACACTGGTCATTTTACAGGCTCATAATCTATGCTTTGACATCAAAGATGGTGCACCCACAGCCTGTCCATCCTACGTGTGTGATAAAGCTTTCTCTACAACTCCAGAAACCAAGATGGTTTCTCACAAGCAGGACAAAGCATTTGCTGTCCATTCTCCTTTCATTCCATAACATCTTAACATCACATTTTAAGAATTATTGTAGGACTGCCCTGAACCAAACTGCTGCTTTGGAGAACAACTGTATCTTTCAATGGACTTAGTCACAGTGATTTTGTCTGTGCTGGCCCCCAAGCCTTTGATATTTGATAGGCTTCAGCAAGCATCAATAGTGCAAAGTGAATGACATCCATGGTAGAAGGGCATATAATCCCATCACATGAGCCGATATACAAAGTTTGAGGCTGCAGGGAATTTAATGGGTGGGAAAATCAGCCTGTTATTATTATAAGCTGATTCATGACAGCTTATTTTATTAAACACTACTTTGTACTATTGTTGCTACCATGCGTACATGCGTACATTCTAACCTCTTATTCCCAAACGAACATTAGTACCTTTTATGTGCTTTGGTTTAAAATAACACGTCTATTACCATTGACCTAGTTCCTAACTGTTCCCACCCACAGTACATTTAATCTAAGATAGAAAACATTTAGTCCAAAACAAGTCTTTGCCTCCAGGTTCTGGCTATGTGGCAAATATTGTAGCTTTTGGGCTATGCCAGGCCTCCAGTAAGAGCACCTTTAGTTTTGTTTGATTTAAGATCAGCCTTGTTCTGTGGCCAAAGTTTTGTGAACACCTAACCATCAGACCTAAACTAACTTGTCGGACACCCCATTTCAAAGTTATATATAGTATGTTTAACACCTTCATCATCAACTAGCTGTGCCCTGCTTTGTAGTTAGCTTTGAGCCTGAAGCTCTCAACAGCTAGTTAGATCATTGGACAAGACTATGCTTTCTAAATGATCCTGCATGAACATGTACATTATTGTGAGCTTGCTTGCTTGGATATTATATTGATGTTTTCTTGGAAAGTGTCCTATTCATCTTCTCACTGGTATAACATTACCTGTACATTGGTCACCTGCTTGCATGGCCCTTTTATGTCTTTATTTTAGCCACATAGTCTTTATGTCCCCAAGCCAATGTATAGTTTCCATATGTCCCTAACTACATGATAGACAGACATCATTTTGAAACTAGAAACCTGGCTCCTGTTACCTACAACTGGTGTCACTTTCCACTGGCATTGCAGTGAACTGAGAAAATAAAAGCGATTCTGTGAAATATATTTTTATTGTATAGTAGGCTGATTAAAAATGCTGATTACTATAATTTTGACTTGAAAAACACATTGTTCATGTTAAACCATACAGGCTCTCAATGAAAGGCAGCCGGCGCCACCTAGTGGAAAGATACTAAATAGCAAGCATTAAAAAGCGCAATTAAAGTGCCTGAAAAAAATAAACAGGAGATAGATAATTAATTTGATAACACTAGGTTTCTTAAGTGGATTTAAATTAAACTGCAAATGTAATTTATTTTATGTAATACTTTGTATTGAAATATGGTAACATGTTTTCTTTTAATTTAATAATCGATTTTGAATACTAATTCATATGAAATGGAGAACAGAATATCCTGCTCAATATGACTGAAAGAATATATTGTGCTTACTGCACATGACTGTATTAGATAAACATGCCACTGTCCGTTATTTAATGAGAAACTGGACTGTGGAAGCTTTGCCCAAAAATGTCATGCAGAGGGCAAATGACTAATCACCAGTATTGCCTGTGGTATCCCTACAGCCAATCTTTTCTCCATTACTGACTTACTATGCTTTGTTCTGTACTGTGTCCCTGTGTGGAGGGGGCCATTTTGGTAGAGCAAGGGCTTTGCTTCCTTGTGTCAGAGCATCCAGCAAGGAGAACCGTGAGCAGTGAATGTGATTTGTTCATTAGGACGTCATTTAATATTTCCACAGCAATTAAATGATAATGTCTTTTGCTGCAGGGTAAGGAAGAGTTTGAGAAAACACAGAAAGAGCTGCTGGAGAAAGGAAACATCATTCGACAGGGGAAAGGTCACCTGGAACAGCATCAGGTAATGGTAAAACATGTCCATTTATGTCTTCTTTCATTTGTCATTCAAATATGGAGGTTACCATTGCTACTTGCATGTATGAAGATCCGGAAGAAAGATCAGAGAAATTTCATTCAAAGTATTAAAACTAAAGCATGTTTAGACCTCAAGAGAGAGGTCAGCATTTGTAGCCTCCATATGTCTCTCATGTCAGGTTTACTGTAAAGCCCAACTTCAGGCAAAATGTTGTTTCTTCGGATAAGGCTTAGAGCCTCGGGTATATTATAACACAAGAACAAAGAAAAAGTTGCTGGACCAGCACAAATAGTAATCATGAACTCCCAGAAGAGGAAAGAGGGCTATGACATGCAAGGAGGGAGGGAACTGTGTTAGGGAAATGACTTTTCCAGGAGTAGTCAATTTCTTTTAGCTATATTAAAAGCCGCTGATGACAGCTATTTATTTACAGAGAAGAATCAGGGGGGCCCTTCTGATATAGGCTTATTGTCGCTGACACGACCATGAGCTTATAGCTGAAGGGTGAATGGCAGCGACGTATGGCATACTGAGCTTGCCAGCAGGGAACGTTTTTGTACTGCCGTATGCTTTACGTCTTTGGCAGGGAAAGAGTTGAACGTTAAAAATGTTGATAACGCCCAAAAAGAGATATGCTTTTCCTACTTCTGTACAATGCAGTTTAAACAAGGCCTGATATCTAGAAGTTTAACTTTGTCAAGTAAAATTCACAAAATATGTTCATGTTTACTTTCAGCTAAAACAGTTTGAACGTCTAGAAGAGGAGGTTGCCCGACCCATTGAAAATGATCTGTCAAACTGGACACCCCCTCAACACTACAGCCAAGTCCGCAGCACCCTCTGCAACTCTGACCGGCAGCTTCTTCTCTTCTACCAAGAGCAGTGCGAGGCCAATGTCACCACCCTCACCAACGCCATCGATGCCTTCTACACCTCCATCAGTAACAATCAGCCTCCCAAAATTTTTGTGGCTCACAGCAAGTTTGTCATCCTCAGTGCCCACAAGTTGGTCTTTATCGGGGACACTTTGTCACGCCAAGCCAAAGCTCAGGACATCCGAAACAAGGTTACCCACTACAGCAACCTCATGTGTGACAAGCTCAAAGAGATAGTTCTCACCACTAAAACAGCAGCACTTCAGTACCCATCCCCATCAGCAGCCAAGGATATGGTGGAGCGAGTCAAGGATCTCAGTAATAGCACCCAGCAGTTCAGAATGGTGCTTGGTCAGATGGTCGCCATCTGAAAGACCAACTGATTTCGTTATCAAGAGACAAACATCAGGGTTTGCAAGAGGTCCTGATTGCTCAGTGAGCTTTGACTTCTCCTTAGAAACATTAATTAACTATTATTCTACTTCATAAAAAAATAAATTTAATTAACTGTGTCTCAGTCCTTACTCGCAAACTACAATCTACATTTCACTAAACAGAGGAATGTCAGACAATGATTAGCTCTTAGCTACATTTGTAAATAATTTGGGATTACATGTTCATTCCATGTCCCCAGGCTGTCGCATATATGAACTTTTTTGACAATGCATTTTAATGATTATGTTTTAGGCTGCAATACCATAGAGGTTTACCCACTGAAAACCTGTCATTGCTCTGGGTGCCTGTGTAACACCTCACTTGGAACACTAAAACAGGATGATGCAATACTGTATCAAACATAAGCCAACATTTCGGCACACCATAAGACAGTTTAAATTGAAGCTATTCGGAACTGTGTGTAGCTATGTCGGCTAGCTGGGCGCAAATAAGTGTCCTGTGCGGCTTTTGTGCCCTTCTATAATTTTCTTACAGAGGCAACCTGGTGTTATCAAGTCATAGAAGAGCCTGGCGGAGCTGTTGTCCATTGCAGGTTGTGAACAGCTAACATTTTTTCTAAAACGTCTGAAAATGTAAGCACGCTTCTGCTTGGATGTTAAGGGCAACACCTCCACTTTTTCCACTGCAGATTTTTCTGCATCTTCCCTGATGTGATAGCAGCTCTTCCACATCTGGCTTGTGTCTAGAATATTACCCAGTAAGGGTATCACAATGGTAATTATAGATAAGGTTATGGTATGCTTTTAGCCATGCTGCATGCTGGGTCTACACAGAGACTGCTTTTATATAGCCTTATACCATGGCCTTTAACCAATGGAAAGTCTAATTTGCTTAAAGGAACCTGTAACTCTCATCCAAGACTTTTCCAGTCATTGCCATGTACATATATATTTCTGATTGCGATCACCAGGTCTTGAATTACAGAACAAAACATCATTTTGATCTGTATTTTTACAGAAATGTGAAGGTTGTGCACATCCAAGTAAAGTCTGCATAACCTCAATAAAACATTCAAAGCCCAAAATCTACACACACCAAAGTTACATGAGACCGTGACACCAAGAGACAAAAGTGCCTCTCTTCAATTCCAGATACTGTTGTCTTCTTCTTAACAGCCTGTCTGCACTGGTGTTCAGTGTGACACTGGGGTCGTACTTGGATTACACAGGCGGCCAAATTGCAGATTACCCATACATCCCTGGGCCTAACACAATGCCTTAATCCATTTTTAGGAACCGATCATCGTTGAGTTTTTTCAGTAAAGCCTGAACCATTGAGTCAGTTGTAACATTGAATCTCTTAGGATGTAATTTTTGTGTTCAAATATTGGGAGAATTCAGTGTATTTTGATGAATGACATAGATTTTCTATTTGTAGGGCTATGTTTTATGTGAGAGAAATAAGGTAAAGAAAATATTGTCACAATAGAATATACTGTTGTGTTGTTAATGAATCTCATTGAAAGTAATGACTTCACATGTTTTGTTTTGTCTTGGAGTTTGGACATAATCTTCCAACGAATATGACCTTATCTCTGTTCATGTCATTGCCGCACTGTATTGGGAATTGATCAGATGTGTAGAGAACAATTATGTTGTATGGCTGGAAAGCAGATTAGGTTTTCAATGATAACTAGTCCATCAGAGCACATTCGAAAACCTGGAAGGAAGTGTTTGTGTTGCTTCGAAAGAAAATCAGATATGAGTTCTTATCCACTTATCCTCATCTGTTTTATCCATAGCTGTAGTCATAACTTGCAGTGACCAAACAAGCAAATTGTCAAGAACACCGAGCATGTCATGATCGGGGGAGAAATCTAATGATCCAGGAGTGTTTCACAATAAAAATGTTGCTCAGCTAGCATGACCACATCATACTGATGCATTTTCCAGTGTTCCTGAGAGCTCCCAACTGGAGCTGGGACATATAAAGGAGAATGTCAAATAGAGAGTCCCACCGCACTCCTGACCGAGAATCCCCATATAATGTGGGGCGGTGCTGAAGTGGCCGCGGGTGGCGCCGCCAAATACTTGCAAAACAGGAAACATGGTCACCAGCACTCCAAGTTTTCTTCAAAACAAAATCCTTTTATTCATTCTTGCAGGCCATATCACCATGCGTGGCAATGTTTTGGAACCTGTCCGGTCCCTTCATCAGGCAAACAAATGAACGGACCAGACAGGTTCCGAAACATTGCCACACATGGTGATATGACCTGCAAGAATGAATAAAAGGATTTTGTTTTGAAGAAAACTTGGAGTTCTGCTGACCATTTTTTCTGTTTTATAAAGGAGACTGGGAACACACTGCAGAGAATACTTATTTCTGATACTCCACGGAAGACCTTGTAACTGTGTCTTGGTGCAATATTTATGATGTTGCCTGTCTTCTTGTAAAACATTACAGTAATTCTAACCAGCACTAGAAATATGACTGATGGAATCCAATATAGTGGCAACACATACACTTTCCTTTCCCCCAATGTTTTATAAATTGGAGTAAAACATGTCATCATGTTTAACCATCATCCTGCCAGAATGTTCATTGCCAGACGTGGCTGCCAGCAAATGACTCTTTTCTGGAAAAAGTGGTGTGCTTTGTTCTCAACAAGGGATGGTGCATATATGATAGGGATGCATTGCGTTTCCATTTGAGTTACATTTCCTGTGGGTATACTTCTTGACCCCTGTAGCTATCTTTAGTGCATCTCCAGCACACACAAAAAAAAATTATCTTTGGATATGGTGGGGAAGGGTTAGCATCTATGCTTATTGTTGGTGGATGTCTCATTGGGGATATTAACCCTTTCTTCCTTTTTAATGACAATGTTATCACCACATAAGAAGTAACGGGAAATCTGCAATGGAAACATTGACAAGCAGTTAAGAGCTTACCTTACCTAACCTTTCCCTACTTTACTAAAAGCTGTTTTTATTACTGTATGTGTCCCTATTTGAGATTTTCCTATTGGTAACATCTTAGACAGCAGTAAACACCTAAAAAAGATTCTAACTTTTCCTATTTTAAGGTAAATTAATGTTTTGGCTGGAGAAGCACTTTAACCTCTCTTTTAACTGAAAGCGCTGTACACACCACCACCCCCATCAATTTGCGGCTAATGTCCTTGAAAAGAGCGGAGGTTCATTTAAATAATTGGAAAAATATAAAACAGACACAGAATGGCACATCAGAAAATACATCTCAGCCTGCAGTCTAAGTGCTCCATTAGGCTGACTGAAGCTCTCCAGCTGCTGAGCAGCTTCCAGTCCCAGCATGACCAGCCAGCCACCATTTCCCAGACATTTGCTGGTAGTCATTTAGAACTCATTAAAATGTCATAACAAGGTGAAAACCTTACATGTATTCTATGTTTCCACACACTTGTCAGGGCAAATCAAAACATTTTGAAATTGGTGCTATTTTTTACATTATGTTGGACGCACAGTAGGAAACAGTTGGTTCTCATCGGTTCACAAATGACGGTGGAGCCAAAGGTTTTCTACTGTTGATCTGATGGCAAAATCACATCAGATGTCAGGATGAGACGGACTAGATTGTTAAGAGGTCTCTCGTATGTTTGATATACAAGATATGAGATGATAGAGAATGGCAGATGTTACTGTTGTTATCGGTAGGAATAAGTTTGCACAGATAAAATCCAGAAATGCTTTTAGATATTGTACAAAAAATGTTGTGTTTGTTGCAGGTTATCGTCCTATTAACCCTTCTGTACGTGCAGCTTTGGCTGCGGAAGGGTTAAGGCTATCAGCACAGTGTGCAGTGGTGACTGGTTCTCCAAATTACAAACCTCTGTCTGTATTTATCCAACATCCATTCTTATGTAGAACGATCTAGAGTTTGATATGACCAGATGGTTGAATAAATATTACTGATCCAGATGATGGAGTTATTGTTTACCAGAAGCAAGATTCATCACCACATTCACCTATGACTTGGCACGTCAGAGCTTCTATAAGATCTCAACCCTTTTTTACAGAGTTCAATGCCCAGTAACAATATGGCTAAAGGGACCCATTGGACATTGTGGACAATACAGCAGGAGGAGTGTGGCAGAGTGGAAGATAGAGTCAGCAACGCTTACCACAAAAGTCTGCTAAAGGATAGTCTGCTGTATAAGAAGCTAGGGAGTGAGTCCGGCTATTAGCATCCAGCAAAATGTTAAAGTATAAAAACCCCAAAACCAAAAATGATTATATTGAAGCTTACAGATCCTTAGAGGTGGTGAATGCCTGGTAATCCTATGAATAACAAATTTCCTGTCCCTAGGCATTAACACTTACCCCTCCAACTGTATCTGTAGAGGAAGTCATGGTTTCCACCCAAGCTGGACTAAAAACATGTCTGCCTTTGTTCATCTAAATTACATGGGGGATGTAATGGGGGAGAGATTGGTAGGTTACAAAAGAAAGATAACATTTTCTTTGCTTTCACTTCATTGAACAGGAAGTTATAAGGAGGATACATTTCTAGCAAGATTAACAGGTATGTTCTGTGCTTGCTGAAATTTTTTTTAGCCTGAACATAAAAATGAACGCAACCACCACATCTAAGGACTGGTAAGATGTAGCATAAGTATATGTTGTTCTTGGGTTCAGTTATTCTGTAAATGGGAGTTTTTACTTTGTCCTCTACTCAAAACTGATGAGTCTCAAGTAGACAGCAAAGCAACAGCTTTACTTTAAAGCCCCCTCCACAACAGCCAATACTGACCTTTCTTTGGCTTCCACACCACTCCATTTAGCCACCCAGAAAGAGGAAGTCAAGTCCTGTGTGGGTTTTAGTCATACACTATCTTAGGGCCCATTCGCCTTAATTTCAGTGAGTTCCAGCATGGTTACCTGCTAGAACGCACTGGATAGCATACTGTAAGCCTCCCTGCTATTTTTTGGAATCGGACTAGAACACGGGCATTGCTGTGTAGGACAGTGTCAGCACCAATTCAGAGATGATTTGAGGATCAACAGCCGAATGATGCCCAAATAAACTACATTTATGTAGATAGGGTACTTGAGTGCATTTTAAAGATTTTTACTCCTGAGTTTAGTGTCACTGTAAACAACAATGGAAGCTAAGCACACAAAAGACAGGAAGAGGACAAAGAATGGTCTGCAGTCCCCATGAAGCCAATCTCTCCCCATTACTGACTTACCATGTCTTGTTCTGCACTGTGTCTCTGTATGGAGGCAGCCATCTTGGTCAAGGCACGGCTTTTGCTTCCTCATGTCAGAGCCTCCAGCTTTGAATGATGTCAAACTGATGCCATCCACACAACCCCAAAGCCCGTTGACACAGGCCCTTCAACTCACAAATCTCTAAATTACAGCTATGAGGCTGTAGGCACATGAGTGCCTAGGCATCCACACATACAAGAAGTCAAAAGTTTTTTTGTGAGAGGAATTCCCAAAAGGATATGCATTTTCAGGGTATTGAATAGGCACAATTAAAATTTACAGATGTAACATATCATATCTTCACATTTCATGTTCAGTTCCACTTTAAAGCTTTGTTCCATGAAGTGCTAAATTCTGGTCTGCTGACAGGGTCTCTTTAAGTGAGAGGAAATCAAGTTAATTTGCCCAGAGTTTTATTATACCATCGCCAGTATAAATGTGACTGAATTAAACATCGGTAATCAGTGTGATTTTTATCCCAGTAGGACTTTTTATGTTTTATTTTTTTAAAGCTTACTGACACAACGCTAATTAAAAAGTGAATTAATACAAGGAAAAGATATTCCTCAAAGGAAATCTCATAATGGTGCAACAGCAGGCGAATTACAGATTAGTGGCTGTAGAATAACCACTTAGGTGCTAGAGGAAAAGCAATCTGTTCCCAGAGCTTTGTCTGACATTTTGCATGTAAACTGGGCTGGGTGAATTAATGGTGTCTACAAGAGCCAATACATTCATTCAATCAAACAGACAAAAAAGCAAATAATAAAATGTAAAAATTCTATGAGCACTCGCATATACACCGATCAGCCATACCAGTAGGACCCCCCACCTAATATTGAGTAGGTCCCCCTTTTGCTGCCAAATCCGCCCTGACTCGTGGAGGGCATGCACTTCACTAGACTTCTGAAGGTACGCTGTGGTATTTGGCACCAAGCCGTCAGTAGCAGATTCTTTAAGTACTGTAAGTTGTGAGGTGGGGCCACCATGGATAGGACTTGTTTTCCCAGCATTTCCACAGATGCTCGATTGAATTGAGATCTGGTGAATTTGGAAGCTAAGTCAACACCTCAAACTCGTGTTCCTCAAACCATTCTCAATCATTTTTGCAGGGTGCATTATCCTGCTGAAAGAGGCCACTGCCATCAGGGAATACCATTTCCATAAAGGGGTGTACTTGGTCAGCAACAATGTTTGGGTAAGTGGTACGTGCCAAATTAACAGCCACTTAAATGGCAGGACCCAAGGTTTCCCAGCAACATTGCCCAAAGCATCACGCTGCCTCTGCCGGGTTGCCTTCTTCCCATAGTGCATCCTGGTGCCATCTTTTTCCCAGGTAAGTGATACACACGCACCTAGCCATACACATGATGTGAAAGAAAATGTGATTCATCAGACTAGGCCACATTCATCCGTTGCTCTGTGGTCCAGTTCTGATGCTCATGTGCCCATTGTAGGCGCTATTGTCAGGGGACACGGGTCAGCATGGGCACACTGACCAGTCTACGGTTACAGAGCATTATATGCAACACACTCAGGTGCACTGTATGTTCAGACACCTTTCTATCTGAATCAGCAGCTCTTCTTTTGGATTGGACTATGCTGGCCAGCCTTTGCTCCCCATGTGCATCAATAAGCCTTGGCCGCCCATGATCCTGTCGCCAGTTCACCAGTTTTCCTTCCTTGGACCACTTGTGGTAGGTCCTGACCACTGCAGACCGGGAACATCCTACAAGAACTGCAGTTTTGTAATTGCTCTGACCCAGTCATCAGTCCTCTAGCCATCACAATTTGGCCCTTGTCAAAGTCGCTCATATTCTTACAATGCCCATTTCTTCTGCTTCCAACTTCAGGGACAAAATGTTCAGTTCCTGCCCTAATATATCCCACCCACTTCCAGGTGTCATTGTAACATGATAATCAATGTTATTCATATCACCTCTCAGTGGTCACAATGTTATGGCTGATCCGTGTATGAAGAATAGTAGAACTATCCCACACCCATCAAAACAAAAAGTGAAGGATAATTCCTGGTGTAGAGGTAGTCCCAAAACTAAACAATGATCAGCTAAATAGCTATAGTGAGTGTGATGAGCAACTTCATGCAGTCAGCCTGAGAGTAGAGGAGTGGGAGCTCCAATAATGGCAAGTGGTGAAGAGATTTAAAAAAACAAGGAATAGCGCAAGAGAGCTCACATAGTGTAGTATATCAAAGATAATGTATTCAAAACAATGAATGATTAAAATCACACTCACAAAAGGTAGCAAAGTACAATAATAAAGCAAGCAAGTCCCTCTTCACACCTGGGCGTTTTGACACTCAAGGCTAAGTGCAACAAAACTCTCAACAAAAGAAGTTCCATTCATTTCTATGGCCCCTGTTCACACCTGAGAGTTTTGTTGCAAGCTGTAAAACGGCTATTGTTGGAAAAGGTACATGAACTTCTTTCGGGCAGATTACAGCACTTTTTGCCGCGTAGACTTCAATGGAAGCGCATTAAAATGCACGACAAAAGCTTGTTCCACATTTCTGTGCGCGTGTGCACACACGTTTCCTCATTCACAGCAATGCATTTTGATCTGCTCAAATAAACAGGCGTCTTTGCCTATGCGTGTCTAACGCACATAAAACAGTAGAAAGGCATCATGGCACACTCACAAACCAGCATGTAAAACAACTTGTCTCACCACTAAGGACAATGACAGAGGTTTGGATACACGTCTTCTGCAAAGGATGTGTAAGCCGCACTGCCGCACCAAGGCACCTCTTATAGTGCGGTCCTAACTCGAAACGATGAGAGTCTCCATCTTGGAGCACATGGGGGCAGAAGATATCAAATTGGGTGCAGGCCTGTCAGGAGGACGCCCCACCTCCTTAAAGGTACAGAAACACACAAGGGATCCCGCACATCCCATTGGCAGCTGAGAAACCCCATGCGTCGCTGCACCAAATCGGTAAAGCAAAACAAACGACAAACGCACTCAACAATTTGTTACCAGTTATACAGTAAGGTGCACACGAAATGGGCTTTGAACAGTAAAACAGTAGAAAGGCATCATGGCACACTCACAAACCAGCATGTAAAAGTGAGTGTGCCATGATGCCTTTGGGATGTGCGGGATCCCTTGTGTGTTTCTGTACCTTTAAGGAGGTGGGGCGTCCTCCTGAGTTCCCTGCTGCACACTATGGTACCACCCACTGCTCACTACGTTACCACTGTGTCATAGCTGGCAGGTGGAACTACACCTCTGTAACAGGAGACGCAGACAACCGACATACCTTGAACTGGATGCTGATGGTTCTGTCTCTCTGCAAGAGAGCAAAGATTTGAAGAATCAGGACCGGCACTTATAAACTCTGTCTGAGGTTTTTAATCTGGGAGTTATAAATTTTCAGCTACTATAAAACATGTTCTTTTAGCATATCCAAAGAGAAAGGGAAAGCCTCATGGATTGCTTCTGGGCCCTTTATTGAAAGGCAACACCGTAAAAGCATTCAGCCCTTGACCATTTTCTGTGGATAACCACACTTTGTCAAAAAGGACCACTTCAGCATACAGCCCGCCCTTAGTTGACACCACACATTGGAATTTATATTTCAACAACATCCTTTAGCTGACTCTCAGAACACAGTTCTGTGAAAGTGAACCCTAAATGGCCCAAACACAGATCATAATGACAAACACCAAAGTTACGATGATAAAATACAGAATAAGGACTAGTCGGTCTACAACCTGGGCTACTATTGTCCACTCTGTCTGCAAATCTTTCTGCTGCATATCAATTGCCACATCATGGTGGATCTTTAAGATTTGTAATAAGATTCTTTTCAACAGCTTAACCTCCTTCTTAACATTTATATCCTTCTCCAGTGCCTTCTTTTTGTCCGTAACCGCTTCATTTTTTTCAGATGTTTTAGCATTCTCAGGATCTGCAAAAGAAAATAAAACCTTGTAAAAAGAGGACGGAGAAAGGGACGGCAGAATATTTTTTAGTGGACACTCACCATTGCCTGTTTTGACTGGTATAACCAGTTCATCTTTGGCATAAACCTTCCTAAAGAACATAAAAGGTGCCAGATGCTTCAAGACAAGTATTTTGATCCATGCAGGTACATGTGGGTTGGTAGTAGATTGCTCTGTCATGTAGGAAGTAGCTATTGTTGCCATTATGCTGAGGACCATCATGGCCATACTAATGCAGCAGAAAATACCTAAAATGACAGAATCAGCTTTAGCTGTTACCCAATAAAAAATGAAAACTGATATAGTAATAAATCATTAAATTCAGCTGCATCCAAGCGTACTTTCCTTAATTTTTGGCCAAACACTGAAGAGTTGAATCACTCATAACATTATACAGGGTCCCCACTGGAAAGATTTCTCCAAAGCAGTTTATGTCTAATCCTATATGCACATGGGGCTATTAGCTGCGGCTGCGGATTCCTGTAGGTAAAACTCACAGATTCAGCAAAATCCCAGGTGGGTTCATACAGCTAAGATCATTCTGCCTGTTCAAGTGAATGACAATCTGACAGTGGCCACATCTGTCCATATGTTATTGTAGATAAAATGATTACCTGTGGTTAAGGGATAGATGATTGTCCCTGGATGCAATTTGTTTGTGCCCAGGGCAAACATCTATCATTAACCACAGACAATCATTCCATCTACAATTACATGTGGACAGCCACGGACAGATGCAGCTGCTGTCAGCCTATGCAAACCCACCTGTGTTTCCTGCCGCAAACATCCACAGGCTGGTGCTGCATGAATCCAAAGACACAGCTAACAGCCCAGTGTGCATGTGCCTTAAGGGGTCACTCTCTTTCTTGCATCTGGATTGATAGTTATTTGTACATTCTACGTTATAGGCAACCCAATGTGATAGCACAATAACATAACTCAACTTGCAATTAGGTGGATTAGTTCTAATGAGGAAATCCCAGATAGCAAGGATAACTTGCTACAAACTTGTGGCAGGGTTAAATTGTAATTCTTGTTAACTTGCTGCACATATTCCTGGCAAGTTGTAGACTTGCAGAACACTTGCAGTACAAGTTCTAGTTGACACTTTTTGAATTTGTAACAAATTTGCTTGTAAGTCTACAGCAAGAGACCTGCAGGTCTTATCAAGAGCTCTGCAAGTGTACAGCACTTTTGCAAAGCACGTTGATCTGGAGACTTGCAATGCAGACTTGCTGTAATTGTGCAACAAAATTGTGAAGCTTGGCATGTCCAGCAATAGTTTAACAAGTAATTTTCAAACTTGCAGCTCAATTGCTTGTATCTGGGATGTTTTTCTTTTATAAGTTTAAACTGACCCTCTATACTTTACAGCATTATTTTTTACTTTTTACACGCACCATTAAAAGTTATTCCAAATAATGTGTAAGAAGGTCATAGAATCTACCCATGTGATTTTACTAATTTAGCTTGATGGACCATTGCTGAAGAGTGAGACATTTCCCACATTACAACCTTTAGGTTGTGCATAACAATCCGTTGTAGAACAGATTTGCATGTACAATCAAGCTGTGTTTAGGCACCAGAATCGGACAGTGTTGCCTCAAGCACGAGTATTTAGATTGGCTGAATATTTGTGTTCATGTGAAGCAGTTGGGAGGAGAGAGGTGCTGTCAAGATGTTACTGGCACCCAGGGGCCCAATTTCTGCCCCCTGAGGCCGGGGGGTGGGTGGAGCTGGAGGTGCACGTTATCAGGGGGTTGTTGGCGGAGCATGTTACCGGGGGGTTAGAGGGTGGTGCATGGTACCTCTGTCCGGCGTTCCACCCAGCTCACTGACATCACTGGTTGCCAGGAGCAGGGCAGGACACCAGTTACATGACCCCACTTAGCTCCTGGCAACCAGTGACATCAGTGAGCTGGGTAGGAGGCCGGCCAGAGCATCACAGGTTGCTAAGAGCTCTTTGCAGCTTGGGACACTCTGGCCAGAAAGTGACCCGATGAGATGTTAGGCTCCCTAATTATAGGGATGACCCTGCTGGCACCTTTTTAAAGGGAATAACAATGGCTCTTCTCTCTGAGAGCCGTGAGACAGAGGTTTATGGGGGTTGGAGACCTGAGATTGTCACCTCATTCAGCCAATGACTGTCTTCTCAAGTCTATGGATCAAAGACTCAAGGAAGAAATCTTAATGGCCGTCTGTCGGCGAGACGCCTGTGTGGCTGTAAGTGTTGCTTGACTCTAGACCTATTGGGTCAAGAGTCACTATGACCACCAGGCATTTAGCCATTTCTCTCATAGTAGGTTTTCCTTAAACGCATATTGCACTTTTTGCAAAAAACAAATTAATGGAACTATATTTTAAAAATAAAAAATGTGCATTAATGAATTATTTTGCATTGGAGCCAGCACTGCATTTCAACCACAATCAATGGATCACGGGTGCAATGCACAGGCTTCTGCAGACTGTTCCTCCAGCCCCTGTCAATACAGAGATAGGGAACTCCTGCTATGGAGCTGGAGGATGATATAATGGACTTTTAATGACGTCACCGCACTTGGGACGTCAGATTGGCAAATGGGACTTTATCATTCACAAACCCTGTAAATGTATTTGTGAATAATTGACGTAGCTCTGTGGGTGGAGCCACACATAGCTGCACTGAACTTAAATTAAAACAGGGGACTGTGGGAAGAAACACCCCAGCAATTCAGGTAAGTGGGGGGACAGGTTGAGAGTGGGGGGCTGTGGAATGGCCCCATGGGTATAACATGGAATATGGTATTAAAGGTGGACTTAGCCTTGTCATATTTTATTGCATTTTAGATTTAAAGTAGTATTAAACTTTTAAACTTTTTCAATAATTAATCCAGATCAAACAAATATACATTCCCCAGCAAAATATTTCTTTAAATCTTTGCCCAAACACTTACAGTCATCATGTTTCTGAATGGTCTGCTCCAAACTCTCATAGCTCCACTTCCCTAAACTTCCTGTCCAGTACAAGATCACAAGGGACAGAGCAGTCTCCAGTAGCTGCCCATCCACTGCTTGGAGGAGGGAGAAAGGCAGAAGAGGGAGCAGAGGAATGCCCTGCCTTGCTGTGTCCGTGTGTTTGTGGAGACACACACAGCTTACTAGCACACACATAAGGGGGGGGGGGGCTCCATAGGATCCTGCAAGGGAAAGGAGCCACCCTAAAACAGGATATTAGGGCTAGTGCTCAGGAGACCACTTGTACTGGAAGTTGAAACTTTTAAACACCAAGGAGCAGTATTCATTGTGAACGATTTAATCAGCATTTGAGATAGACTAAAACCTTTTGACTTTAATATCTTTAGGTGATACTGTTATCATATAACATACCTAACATGGGAGTTTTATCAGAATTGGGCAGCATGTCATTCAGAATGAGCAGCAGCACTGAGAAGCCCAGAACAACGGTGATCTTGAAGTCAAGTCTAACACTGTAACTCCGGATGAACATACTTGAAAGATCCAGGAATACCAGGAAACAGACAGGTATGATGAGGTTTAAAACGTATATAATAGATGCTCTTTTCACCTCAATCTATGGGGAAAAAAATCACATGTAATTATATTGCATATTCTATAGGAAACAATGTTGCACACAGAAACCACCAAAGAATAAATTCTGTTACTGCATTTACAAGGAGCACTGCTAGACAATGTGAGGCTCCATTCACATATAGAATTTGTGTTTCCCGCAAGTTTTTCTGTGCGGAAGACTGTGCGGGACAAAAATTATGATTTTAATCCTCACGGATGCCGTTCCTTTGTGTCTGTACATAGGAGCTTACACTCTAATGCCCCCCCCCCACAGTCACATCAGTCTCTGTACAGAGGAGCTTACACTCTAATATCCCCCTACAGTCACATTACCTGCTAGCCGCAGGGCTTCGTCACCCGCTGGACACTAGACATGTGCACCGGCAAAAAAAACGTTTCGTTTCATCTTGTTTTGATTCGGATTTTCCGTTTTTCAGGATTCGGACTAAATTCGTTAGCGGTAGTCTGTACGAATGTTCATTTCCGTTTCATGTTGGTATAGTTCGTTTAATTGCAGCAAAGTGACATACATTTTTTTTTTTATTGTCACTTTGCTGCAATGAAAATTCGTCCACAAACGAAAATGCGTACAGACTACCGCTAACGAATTTCGTCCGGAAAACAAACAAATCGCACATGTCTACTGGACGCAGGGCTTAGGGTTAGTTCACACCATAAGCAGTGTGTTCTGGTCTGATTCTGGCCAGAACGCACTGCCCGCATTGCGGCCGGCTCACTTTTTGGCCAGGCTGGAGGGGGCACAGTGGGCCATTGAAGTAAATAGCGCCGTAGCCACGCCCTTCGGCTGCAATGCGATCCGTTTCGGCAATATATTAAATGAGCTGTGGGCACTTGCCAGATTTAAAGATGGCCACCGCTACTCACGGCGGCCATCTTTGAAAAAGTAATGTGCAGTCAGTCACAGACAGGGGGACACCGGAGGCATCCTCCGGTGCTGCGGGGCCGGGCGGCCGCCTCCACCTACTACCAGTCAACTGTACGGCTGCAGGCCGATATTCATGTAAGGTTCACGGGCCCCTCACGCGGCCTGGGCCCCTTACTTGAATATCGGCCGTACCCCCCTGACGGCGGCCCTGGTCAGTGGATTCAGTGAACTCAGATGACAAAGCTTCAATCAGTGGATGCATTGGACTCAGATGGCAAAGCTTTAATAGGTGGATGCAGTGGAATCATACGGCAGAGCTTTAATTGATGTTTGCAGTGGACTCAGATGGCAGAGCTTCAATTAGTGGAGGCACTGGACTCAGATGGCAAAGCTTCAATAGCTGGATGCAGTGAACTCATATGGCAGAGCTTCAATTAGTGGATGGAGTGGACTCAGATGGCAGAGTTTCAATCCGTGTATGCAGTGGATTCCAATGGCAAAGCTTCAATCCGTAGATGCAGTGGACTCTGATGACAAAGCTTCAGTCAGTGGATGCAGTAGACTCTAATTGCAGAGCTTCAATCTGTGGATGCAGTGGACTCAGATGGCAGAGCTTCAGTCAGTGGATGCAGTGGACTCAGATGGCAGAGCTTCAGTCAGTGGATGAAGTGTACTCAGATGGCAGAGTTTCAGTCAGTGGATGCAGTGGACTCAGATGGCAGAGCTTCGATCCTTGAATGCAGTGGACTCAGATGGCAGAGCTTCGATCCTTGGATGCAGTGGACTCAGATGGCAGAGCTTCAGTCAGTGGATGCAGTGGACTCAGATGGCAGAGCTTCAATCTGTGGATGCAGTTGACTCTAATGGCAGAGCTTCAGTCAGTGGATGCAGTGGCATGCGAATTCACATGATGGTAAGGAGGGCCCTGCCCGTGAGGGCTTACAATCTAAAAGGAAGGGGGAAGTGATACATGAGGAGGTGTGTGTGGATAAAATGTTTGAGAAAGTAGAGTTCAGTGGTTAGTTTGAGGCGGGATAGGTTTCCTTGGAGAGAAGAGTCTTTAGGGATCGCCTAAGGGCAGACAGAGTAGGAGGTAATAGGAGAATAGACCCAAAAGATAATACAAAAGAATATTCACAACAGCAACAGAAGATACAGAGAAAAATACACTGAGAAAGGTGAAAGGATGTCCTTTAGTCCCCGTGCAATGCAGTTCCTTACACTGTAAATGACTAGGCTGTATTCCACTCCTTCGCTCATCATGGTTGTGTTGTGCACTGTTACCGCCTGCAGCGTCCAGTCATTTTTAGTGGCAAACACATCAAATGCATTTTTGTTGACAACCGTCGTGTTGCTTTTTGGCCACATAACCATATCTGAAACTACACAGAGCAACATGGCTGCTGGTAACTTGTCATTCTTATAAACAGTCCAGGGAATATGCAGGTGAACTTAAAGTGTATTTCCACTTTTGCAGCCAAACTGGGAGAGCACCTATTTTATATTTGTCACACGTTCCTATTCACATTGCATCACAAAAAATATTTAAAAATTGCTGCTGCTTATATTTTACTTATATTCTATTCTGAAAGAAAAGTTTTCTCCTCTAAACTAACTTTTTTACATAGTAATGTGTATTCTAACTCTCTGGAGTGCAAAGAGGGGGGTGGTAAAGTTTAACCTTATTAACCCTGTCTGTACTATGCTGACTGATCTCAATAGCAATTATAAACTAGTTTTGAACCCTGTCTGCCCTAATAACAGGTTAAAGATCTAAAAGCAGGCAGCTCAATGTGTCCCTAGTCTCTCTATGGGGACAGCCAGTGTTTCCTGTCACTTTGAAATTGTAAGGCCTGCAAAGGCCTGCTACACAGAGACATGTAAAAGGGAAGATATATTTTTTTTAAAAACCAATATATTTAGCTATTCTGTGTGAATGGGAACACATAACAAACATATAGTGGAGGTTTTCTCAAATTTGACTGCAAAAGTGGAAATACACTGTAAAAAAACAATCTTTTGCCAAGATATAAGCAATGAAGTGGCTATTGCAAAAACGCTAATATACTCACTGTAGATCACATCCATTTCCTTATACATTCATCATCACAGGAGCAGAGCTATGGCCAAAAGTGAAACTTCTGATCTCTATAAGTGCCCATACACAGCTAACTAACTCTCCATCCACGCTTAGGGGCCCTGTTCACACCATGTGCGTTTGGGCATTTTTTCCAACGCAGCCTGAACACAAGACAAGGCAAGTTGCCTTGTCATGGGTAGGCACAGTTCACACCACCACATTGCATGTAGTACTTTTTTTACCAAACACATCATACTGTAGTGTGCCCATAGAACTCAATGAAATGTGACTTGTGACAGTACATCACTTCCTGTTCATTCATGATTGTGGACATAGTAACTAATACTATCTCCTCCATTTCTAAATGGGCAGGAGCACTCAATATAGAGGCTTCCTCTTCATTCATAACCGGGGCTGCAGAAAAAGAGATTGAGGACTCTGTGTCCTCAATCTCTTTTTCTATTTTAAAAGGGAAATATCAGGGGCCTGATTTCCCCAAAGCCCCTAACCCTTGGTTCACAAGAATGGTGCGCGTTTTTTGGCATTTCCAATGAAGTCCATAGGTAGGAAAAGTGCTTTTAACTGCCCAAAGCTCCTGTATCTTTTCAGACGTCTGGCGTATTTCTGCTCAGGTGTGAACCAAGGCCATTGAAAATCATGTGATTTTTTGTGTTGGGCAGTTAAAAGCGCTTTTCAAACTGCTTAAAAACGCTGAGGTGTGAACCAGGGCTTACAGTAAAGTAAAAAAATAAATAATAATAATAATAATAATAATTTCAAACATTTTAAGGTTGGAAAAAAAAGTCATTTTAGTTTTCAGCCTGAAAAAATTATTTTATTTTGGTTTTGGTCTAAAAATGTAATTTCAGTGCATCCCTAATATAAAGGTATGGTACCATAGCTGTACCCTACAAGATTAAATACATACACTCAGAGAACAGAACAGAACTTATTACAGAGCATAGATTCTATCCAATAAAAAAAGACTTGTTAGACATATGTTCTGTGCAACAAACATACCTCCGTAAACATAAGATCCAAAGGTGAGCCTGCATGTCTGATTATCAAAGGGGAACTTGAAAATGTCCAAATTGCAGGTGCTGACAATGCGTAGTGGCATTGCATTAATGACTTTCCCAGTGCTCTGCAGTATATAATATGGAATTTGTGGAGAATTTTCATCATTTTCCATCCTAAGTGACAAGAGATGGGATGAGCTACAAAGCATGATACAAATACCCTATGGAACTGAGAATGCATTTGATTCACACCTCCTGATTCTCTGAGATCAGAAAAGAGGGGCACATTTTAGTGCTAAACTTGTTTCAGGCTTCTAGCCATGCCCTAGGCTAGGTTCACTCCTAGGCGAAGGAGCTAGTGAGCTGTTTTTGCGTGGTTGTCGCACGTTTTTGTTTGCGCGTTTTTCAATGCATAGAGATGTCTATGAGACCCAAACCACGTGACAACCACCCGAAAATAGCTCCTGCACCTTTTTTTTAAATTCTATTTTTATTTAAGGAAGATCTTTTCAGAAATAAAAACAAACATACAAAGCAAATCACAATGTCATACAGTAAGGAATGTCATATTCAGGACATGAGATGTTGTCACTGCACAGTATAACCATAAGAATACCCCATGCATCACCCTGCCACGTACAAAGGAGAGTGAAACCCCACGATCGCTAAACTGGGACCGATCCCTGAGGTGTTTTTCAAATTCTGTTTTTATTTAAGGAAGATTTTTTCAGAGCTCCTGCACGTTTTTGCATGACAGGCGATTTCTACCGCGCGACAAATGACAAAGGTATGAACAGCTTCCATAGACTTGAATGCAAGTCTCTGTTTTGTGCGATATGGCGCAGCTAAATCCACGCAATAAATCGCCTAGATGTTAACCTAGCCCCAAGCTCACCACACATGTTACAATCTAAATGTATAATCTCCTTTAGATCTACCAAAAACTATGTAGTCCAAGAGTCTTCCCAATTGGATACAAATTGAATGGATACATTCATGAAGACCTTATAATACATAGTTGTTGGTGAAACTAAAGTTGATTGTTCAAAGATTGTATGGTTATATTATAGTGTGTATGGTAACCCTTAGCCATATCCCCACCAAACCGCAGTCACATTCTTCCTACTTTCCCTTATAAGGTGTGAAAACCCCATAGTAATTCAATTTGTCTGACAACTGCACAACACACCTATCGTCTGTTAGTGAGGCTAGGTTACACACCAAGGCGATTAAGCTGGTAAGCTGTATTCAATGCATAGAGATATCTATGGACCCAAACCGCACATCAACCGCTAAAAAATAGCTCCTGCACCTCTTTGCGCGACAGGCAATTACTACTGCGCGACAAGTCGCAAAGGTATGAACCGCTTCCATAGACTTGAATGCAAATCTCTGTTTTGTGCGATATCGCGCGGCTAAATCCACGCGATAAATTGCCTAGGTGTGAACCTAGCCTCAGGGACGGTGCACACTTGGGCGATCCGTGACCGTGCGGCAATCATGCACCATACCGCATGGATTGCCGTGTGGTCACAGAGTCGCCCTTCAGCGACGATCGCACTGTAGGTGCCATTATTTTGTAATGGCACCCCAGTCGTGCCCGGGGGATCGTGCGTAACAGCCGCTCATCGCGTATCGCAAAAAGAAGCTACTAAAGGTCACCAGCCAGTTGTGTTACTAGTGTCAGACATCACCTATTAATAAATGTTAATTAGAAAATACAGAAGTAAGCAAATAGTAGTCAGTGCAGCCAAAAGAAATCATAGCAATCAGACCTTTGCTATGTTTGAACCCAATAAGTACACCTCTAGCAACCCCATTCAGGGTTCTTCATTGAATTATTCTACAATGGAATTTTGACTCTGGCATCATTGCTTCACTATAACAACATGCAATGATGCTGGTGATACTATATCACATGTTATATACAGTAGAATCAGCCAGAATCGGTTTAGTAAAAGGGCATAGTTCTGGTCCCTCTATCAGGACAGGATTGTTTTGTAAGCATAGGTAAGTGGACGTCTGAGCACTGGTAAGTCTTGGGAGCGTGTGAGTAGAGCAGCAGTTGTCCTTCTCTCATATCTCTATTGGATATCCTCTAGCTCATAAATGACATTATAGTAATAATTACTATATCATCATCTCTTTACATATAACATATTCTTCAGTATATGATAGAACAATCTCCAACAAAATTGAAATACCAGACTTCCAGACTCAGCACCTCCACATACTGATAAATATACCCAATTACATGTTATACTGTATATGAGTGCCACCATGCATAGATCAAATCATAATTTCTACATTTTATTCATCTTATAAGGGAATCAAAAGCAATAAAATAAATCATGCTATAGACATATATTAAACATGCATATAAACTCTCCCCCAAGACCCCCCTTATATCCTCAAATGGCGGTAATAGCTTGTATATCACATCTCAGTGTACATAACTGAGCCCCTGTATAACCACTTACACTGAAACAAGCAGTTGTGTCTCACATAATGGCAATGTATGCTGCTAGCCCACTATGTGATCACATCAGGTTTCTCACATGCAAGCTCCAAAAACTTTCACTGTGCATAAAACTCCAAATAATCAGAATTCCATGGAGGATTTGGGAGTATTCATAGCCATTTTATTGCAAGCCTAGGATGTTGTAATCAATTTTTCTCCACTTAGATGCCAGTTGTGGATATATCATTAGTCTATTCAATCTGGATTAAATGCCTTATTGATAGAGGCACGGCAGGCATACTGTGTGGTATTTGCCGAAACGCATCACATGCATATATCTAATAAGCACAGTGTCATGGACACGGGGCCATACCCTCGCAATATCTGCCAATTGGTGCCTCAAACTCCCTCCGCTTGTAAGAATATATTCTATCCTGTCCACGGACCATATATTACTATCCTCATGATTACCGTAGGTTTCAACATTGTAAGGCATATGTACATCCCATAGTAGTTGATCAGTGTTTGCCATCTATGCAAGTAACTGAATGTGCTTATATCAACATTGGTGTAAAATCAAGATTGGGAAGCTGTTACCTCATAGAAGAATTATCGCACTTAGCTCACTTACATTTCAAAGATATAAAGGTCTGGCTTCCAGAAATAATCATTGTTAACAAGCAGTTTCTTTATTCCACAAAAGTCAGCTGGGTTCCAGCTAATGAATTCATCTCTCCATGACTGGAAAGGAAAAATAAAAAGAAATGACCTAGAGTAGCTACATAATCTTATCCTTAGATGGCACAGTCTTTAGAGATAACAAACAACCCCACAGGCACTAGTGCAGTCCCACATTCCCCCTAACACAGTATTCTTGCATGTGTATTACGACAGCTTGTTTTCTTTGTATCTGTAATCCCATAGATGCACTACCTTTAGGGACACCAATCTTTCACCATGCCCACCAATGGCAACATTGCACCCTCGGCACTCACTTTCTTTAGTCTACAGAAATCTGCCCCTGCCATGAAAGATGTAGTTCCTTGTGTTTAGCCCCCAGTGTAAATATTCCCAGTTCTCCCCGTAAAGCTTATCATACACTGTTAGAATCTGGGCCGACTCCAGTGTATCATCTGAAATTCTAACTGTGGGTGGCCCTGCCAGGCATCACCCAGCTTGACAAACCTCAATTGAAAAATCAAATGTGGAAATTATTGGCCGACCAGTGACTGTAGCCAATTAGGGTATAGGTATTCTGACAGCCCCTGGTGCCCTGGCAATATTTAGCATGGGTAGGGGAATAGAGTGATATGAATGGGATACATGGGAAAAACACTACGAATCCGGCATTAGATCTAAAGAAGCTGTTTGTGTAATCAGCAAAACATTTTCAACAATATACAGCAAGTTTTCTTTTGAAGCTGCTTCTACCATGGGCTCCCCCACTCCGTCATGCCTAGATGACAGGACAGACTGACTATTGTATGCACGGCCCCATTTCTCGGATATGAGAACTCAGCTTGCCTAGCCATGCATGTGCAGTCCGATTTCTTTCTCACTTGCAGAACACTGAGCTCAGCCACTGCTGTGAAAGAGATTGGACTGTGTATGCACTTATGGTTAGGCACTGATGGAATTTTAAAATGTGTAATAAACGTCAAGGCTGAACTCCAAGCAAACAACTAAAAACACAGATGAAATACATATAAAGGAACTGTTTTACATGCCAATGTATTTGTAGTTCTGTCCATCCAGTCCTAAGAGTTACATAGCCTTGCCACAAAGCACAGCCCTGTGTAGTAGGGCGGGAGACCTGATTTTACCCTGCTACAGATCGGTTACAATTACAGGTCTTGTCCTTTCCCCAGTGTGTGACAGGACAGTGAAAGGAGACGCAACAGAATGATGAACTTATCTCACTGTGACTACGCTCCTAGGTAGTAAATAAATACTGCAGCTCAGTTGACTGTCTCCTTGTGCTGGTTCTGCCTCTCCCACTCAGAGCTCTGCTGTACAGGGATTGCAAGAGGATGGCAACGACTTAGATTCAGGTACTTATACTGCTTGCGTTTAAAAATAAATGTAATGATGTATCTATGAAGACAGAATTGTATTATTTTTTGTCTTTTTTATATCTGTCTGGATATCAGCTTTGAGGTTTTGATAGTGCAGGTGAAAAACAAATGTAGTGCTCCTCAACACCTTTACATATCCTGGATATTACTAGGATTGCAGTGCCATCTGCTGGTAATAACAGACAACATAGGACTTCCATTCCAATTAACTAGAGCTGCATGAATACCATTAGTCTTAAATGTTCAGATTTAAATGCAATAAGCAATGTGTACAGGAGGCTTATGTCAAAGCTATCAGAGCCACAGCCGGGCAGTCCTAGTAACCAGTAACATCAAATTTGTTCCCTACCTCCAACATTACAGGAGGACAGAGGAGCATCTTCTTCCGTCATCTCCTGCAGCCTGCTTCACCTCCCAGCTCTGGCTTACTAATAAAGTAGGAAAATACTGGCCCCTTATGTTAGTGGGGACACTAACATAAGGGGCCAGTATAAAGGGGACAAACAATATAAGGGGGCACTCTAATGGGCACAACTAATAATTAACTACAAAAATAAGGGGGCACGCTGATGGGGACAATCAATTTAAGTGGACATTCTGATGTGGACAACTAATTGTTAATTGTTCTCATCGGAGTGCCGCCTTATATTAGTTGCTTCCGTCCTTTTACATTAATTACGAAAGTAGGGGGTACTCTGATGAGGACAACAAATCATTAGTTGCATCCAACAAAGTGCCCCTATATTATTTGCCCCTATCAGATTTTTATCAATTTATGTATGTGCATGTGTGCCTATGCACCCTCACATTAATGTGTTGGCCCTCCACAAGTCTCAGTTTCTCATGTAGTTCTTCAAAAAATGTAATTGGCCACCCCGTGTTAGAGGAATGACTAAGTGTAGGTCCAGCCAAAACTTTCGTTTTGGACATAATGGGGAAGAATTAGACTGTCAGGTTTTCTGTCTTCTCTTTAAAGATATTTCCCCTTGCGTACCTTCTGGAGGACAACTGTTTCACCAGGCTGGAAGTGAGAGTAAGGCCTCATTTACACAGCTAAGTGTCGGCCTGTACAGATCCGTTCTGTGTGCACGGCTGTATCGGGCCGTTCCCGGGAAGGACAGGTGCTGTGCGTGATCGTACGTAGTAGCTTCTCTATGGTGATCGTACGTAGTAGCTTCTCTATAGGAGTATGCGGCCGTACGCTCACCCGAGCTGCACATCCGTGCGGGTGTGAGTGTCCATACGTGGACGCAGCCAGGATGGATAGGGAAGGACAGGTCGCTGCGTAAAATCACACGCAGTACCTGTCCTTCCCGGAAACGGCCCTATACGGCCGTGTATGCAGCACAAACCTGTACGGGCCGACACTTAGCTGTGTGAACGAGGCCTAAATCTCCAACAGCAGTGTGTGAGAGTTATGTGATTGCTTTTACATTTTTTTTATTTCTTTTATTATCTTTTCTATTTTCTAACACTGTTTGTCACCTTCAAAGTTCTGTAGAGCTGCCCAAATCACTTTTATTAGATAGTCAGGAGGCACCTGAACACAATGGCCGCAGCCCTGAGCTTCTTTTTACCCCTTGAGCTCCAGGACTTTTGTAAAGGTCCGCTGCACATCAAAAAGTTAAAGAGGATCTCTCTTAAAATTCACACTTCAAATAAACATACCTGGGTACTTGCCAGAACTAAGCCTACAATGCCGGAATTTATATTTGGTTTGGCGTCATTACCAGATCTGTCTAATCTCTAAATTTGTTTTGTTGATTTGTATTTTATTGTAGGCTCCGGACTTATCCTTTAAGTTCCTCCCACTTTTAGTGCAATTTGGATACATTCTCCATTTGGTATGCCATATTACGGGTGCCATGATTAGCCCCATTCCATCCCCATTCTCAGGATTACTGATTATCAGAAGTTCCCAGGTATGCACATAAATTAGTAGGACATTCATTAAAATTAGCACATTATTCTTTTGAATACAAAGTACCTCTTTCCAGCTATACAAAGGAAAACAGATGTTCACAAGCTTCCTAGGTAGCACAACTATCTCTTTCACATCTATGGGGTTGATTTACTAACCTTATAAACACGCCAAGAACAAGTATACAACTCTGTAGTGTGTTCCCTCCCAGCATGATCTATTGGTGGAATCTAGACACCTTTGTAGTGTGTACACACCCAGCAGGTATGTTGTGCAAAGCCTTGCATGAATTGCAAGGTGATGTTGTGTAAATTAGCTCTACGTTGTGTTGCTTGCGTTGATGAATGCAGGAATGTAAATGCATGAGCTAACCATTTTTGTCTAAACTGTGAAGCAGCATTATATATGCATCATGTGCATGATTTTTCCATATATGGCATTAGTGGAAATATGCTTTTAGAGACTTTTTGGTTGATAAATACGTAATACACCTAGTGCGTGCGTGTGTTTAGGTTAGTAAATCACCTCCTATATCTAAAAAGAATATTGAAATGATTTGGCTTACTGCTAAAGATCTTACCATGTAGAACCAGACAAAAATGATAGCAGTTTGCTCGCTCATTTTCTGAAACAAATAGGATTTGATCATTAATATAGAGGTGAAGATACTGAGATCAGAGTTAAAAAAATCAATTTACTATAAACTATAAATGATTGTAATATGCCGTAACAGCACTGACAGCCAATGAGAGCTAAAGGGAAAAGTCATATGCCTGAAAATAACAACCGTTATGGCAAAAGACATACAGCAACACAGCTTAGTGAATTCAGCCTTAAAGAATATCTATACCCAAGAACAAATATTTACTATATAGCAGCTTACCAGTCCTTAGATATGGTGGCTGCATTAGTTTTTTTTTTATTTTCAGGCTATGTATTTCCTACAGGTATAGAGAAAGTATAGAAAAATACATCAAAACATAAGGATAAGTGGGGTTGTTGTAAAGTAGGGGGATTGACTATATGCAGTCTAAAACCCTTTATTACATAAGTATTTGCTTATGTTGATTTTCGAACAGATTGGGTGGAAGAGGAAGGGTCCTTAACTCTTCATCTGTGGGCTCTGGTCCCCGTCTTGAACCACTCAGGGCCGTGGGTTGCTCTGTCAGTTACTCATCAATTTTTGTATCACCCAAATCATGTCTTTTTTTATGCCACTGCTTTTTATCATGAGATCAATGAGGTTTTGGAGGGATATGTCCACTATAATATGCGCATCCTTATTTTAAATGTCTAGTCTATTTTATGATATATGTATTGAATAAAATAATATATTTTTATATGAAGCAAACTTGTGGCTATTTGTTTTTTGTCATTTGGTGCCATTAAAGCCCCACCTATCCTTATGTTTTGATCAACTAATAGGGGTGTGGCACCAGTTACTGTGGCACCAGTTAGGATCTGTTCACAAAACCTTTTTTATTCCTATAGAAAAATACATGTAGATCTTGCCAGAATTACTTTGTCCTCTTTACTGCCCCTGTACTTAAAGGATAATTAAAGCCTCCGTTTTTTTTGCATAGATCTACTGCTAGCAAGCAGTAGACCTATGCAAAAAGTGTAAAAAAAACAAAAGACGCTTTAACAGAGGTTAATATTCACCTGTGTGTTCCCTACGTGCTCCCGTCCGATAATGTGAAGATCCTCGGGCGGCCGCAAAGCATCTTGGGGCGGGCGCATGCACAGTTCACATTTTCGGCCGGCACGCGAGGAGAGACACAAGGTAAGTCGATGGATGCGTGCACCCGCATGCAGACACCGTGGAACAGGAAGTGCCAGCAGGGACAGAGGAGTCAGCGCTGGATCGGAGACCCGCCGCAGCGCTGGAGGGACAGATGAAAACGACAAGAAAGAAGAGGAAGATTAGATTAAGAAACATCATTTAAGGTAAGTGCTGACATTAACACTGGGGGGAGGGGAAAAAATTTACTTTAATGTCACTTTAACTGATATTCAAACAGTGTTATAAGCTTTGCCAGCTGTCTTGTTATAACTATAAAACCACTCCTCCCTATGTAATGGAGATGAGGACCTTTCCTTATCTTCACTACATATGGAGGAGGGGTTCTGTAGTCCGAATTAGAAGAGCAGGCTAGGGCTTCTACATAACTACAGTGCAGTGAGAGAGCGTTGTCACTCTAGGAAAGGAAATGTGTTACTGGCAAGGTCACCAGGTGATAAGAAAAAGAAAAAAAGCCTAGAAAAGGAAACAAATGCAGCCACCATGTCTAAGGACTGATACATTGCAATATATCACCTTTTTTCCCTGGGGTTTAGATATACTTTTAAGAGCAAAGTATTCAAACATATTAATCAGAATTGTTTTTGTACTTTAAAAATGGACATGTGGAACAGATGCAACTGCAGCTTGATCAGATCTAAAGATAACCCCACCAAGCCCAAAACTTTTTAATAAAAACCTTTAGGACAGTTGTGGGTTTTTCAAGAAAGCTAATGGGGGTAATTTATCAAAACTGGAGTCTAGAGTCTAAATAAAAGTTAAATATTTTTCAAGTTCTTCTTTAATCATTTACGCATGTATGCTCAGACAAGGTAGTGTACGTGTTTATGGAGCAGCTGATAGATAGATATGCCTCCAGGCAGTTACATTATGCCTGCATGATCAACTGCCCTCATAAGTGTCTATAATTAGTAGACATGTGCGATTAGTTTCGTTACGAATCGAAATTCGTACGAATTTTCCTGAAATTCGTAAATTCGGAAGGATCCGAAATCCGAATTGCAGTTTCCGAATTATATCCGAAATACGAAATTCCGTTAACGAATTTCGGATCCGAATTTCTTTGAAACAGGAACTAATATTACCCCTGTAAATGAGGTTGAACAACATGACAAGATTTTTTTTTTAATCCGAAATACGGATCCGCTGCTGCTGAGGGTTGCATTACAATACACAGGCAGGAAATACGAAATTCCGTTGACGGAATTTCGTTCCGTTATGAACATTCGTTATATTGAAGTTAAAAAGCAAAGTACATTTGTTAATATATTGGAGTTGATGGTAGTTTTTTTTTTTATCCGAAATACGAAATTCGGATCCGAAATCCGTTAACGGAATTCGTATTTCGGATAAAAAAACAACTATCACATTGACTCCAATATTAACAAAAGTATTTTTGCTTTTTAACTTCATCATAACGAATGTTCGTACAGTTACGAAAATGTGCCGAAACTAACGAAAATTCGTATTTCGTACGAATCCGAATTGAGTTTCGGACATGAATTACGAAATACGAAATAACGGATATTCCGAAACGGAAAAATTTTTTGACGGCGCACAAGTCTAATAATTATTAGGGGCAACCAATACCCATAATACATTCTCTATATGACTTATTCTTATTTTGTAATTACAGTTGTGTAGTGAGAATGCTGCTTTCACTGTCTGGCATACAGATATCAATTACAGGGAGAATGTATAATTGTGTTTATGGAATACTGTCATTAACTATGACTCCTCAAACAAACTTACCTTTGGATGCATTGTTTGCAGCCCATGTATTTCTAAATCCCAGACTGCCATAAACTGCTTTCTGCTCCTGCATGTTCCTATTAGGCCATTACTTTGATGGTCAGTCTTACCAGGACAGCCAAGTCAAAGTTTGAAACTGTCTGGTATTTTCCAAATTTAGCAGTTACAGCAGCAATGAAAAAACAAATAAATGTATGAGTTTGATTCAAAATTCAGCTTTTGAAGTTGCCAGCTTTTGAAGTTCTTACCAGATCTATAAGGGTGTATAAGGTCAGGTCAAGGTACACAATGGTTGTATTCTTCCAGTCCCTCACTGGGCGCACCTTTGAGGCATTTTGTAGGTTTAATGAATGCAACAGATTCTGGAAACTGCAGTCAGACTGACACCAGCCTATATCTGTGATGAAAAAATGGCCTGATTTAGAACAGTGGTTATAAACGTATGAGCTATATGGGTCTCAAATCGGGTCCCTGAAAGCACCAAAGGGTCACACATAATACTCAGTATATGTAAGACTGTCAGAAACGGCCACATGATTTGCTATCTGTGCATCATTGGGGGAAAATATCCCTTCAATTCCTGTCACAGAGACATAACAAGAAGTTAGAACGAATTTCTCAACATGTGAATTCCCCTCTTAGACAGCTGTCCCGGGAACAAAGGTTTTGCCTAGAGATACACTTGAAAAAAAAGTCAGCAATAGCAGCTCCTGTATCATCTATCCTCACAGTTCTCTCATTTATATTTTTACACTAGAAGCTTTTACATTGCAGAATGAATTAATAAATACATTAGAAGACAATGTTTAATTCCTTTTATTGGCATAAAGACAGAACATTAGCAGCACTTAAAAAGCACTCAAAATGGGATATGGTCTACTTTCCCCTGAACAAAAATCTGCAAGGTACACAATTGACCCAAACAGAGCTTTATAATAGATTATTTCTGTATCTCAAAGCAACGCAGAGCAAAGCAGCATGATTGCACTAATCCCCCCGCCTACTAGTACATACGAGGGGAGGCCAATAAGTTCTTACCCTCACCATGATCTAGATGTGCTAGGGATCTGACATTTTGTAGGTTAATAGGTGGATATCTTAGTAATATGCTTGCCAATATTTGTTTTTGTAGGTCCTGGTGAATTATAGTTAGAGCCAAGAGAATTGGAGTAGGTGTTATGCTGGACAAAGTTGAATAAGGAGCCGTAATTAGGTGTGTTGCTGCTAGCTGACAATGCACCTGCACATCGAGCTGCAGAAACTGTCACTTTTGTTCGTAATTGTGGCTATGAATCTCTGCCCCACCCACCTTACTCACCTGACCTTGCACCTTCGGACTTCTTCCTGTTTCTAAATCTGAAGAAACATTTACAGGGAAGACGTTTCCACAATGGTGAGGCAGTCATTACTGAAGTTGATAGCTGGTTTTCCTCCAAATCTGCATACTTCTATGCAGAGGGTATTAAAGGTCTGTTCCACAGTTGTGAAAAGTGTGTAACCATAGGAGGTGGATATGTAGAGAAGGAAGAGTCAGTGGACTACATTTCAGATCCCTAGCACATCTGGATCTTGGTGAGGGTAAGAACTTATTGGCATCCCCTCGTACTTACTACTACATACTACATACACTTTAAATACTGAGTGACATAAGGCCGGTATGTATACATGCACAGACACACAAGCTACTATATTAATTTTACAATCAAATACATATAATATGTCATGTATTACTGTATATTGACATAGGTTGACAAGCTTTCTCATGATGGACAAGACTTTTCCTCGGCACCGGGAATATATGTGAACAGGTTCTACTGAAAATATTTTATTTTCTCTTGGCAATGCATGTAGTATAGACAACCCCTAAAGTAGGGTATACACTGAACGAATTTCAAACGGACTTAATTGATTTCGGAACATTCCTTTCTAATGGTTGATGGGGTCAACTTGTTGATTCATTTCAACCACTGTGATGAAAAAATTTGACGGAGCAGGATGGAATGTGGTTTTCGTTCCATTCCTTCCAAAATCAAATGTTAAATCAGAACAAAAATCAAAGACAATTTTGACCGTCATTCGTCAAGTCTCTGATAGGAATATAACGTTCCGAAGATATTTTATATAGGAATATTGGTTCAAAAATCCACCAGTGTATTCCCTACTTAAGGGTAGTGATTCTAAAAAAATCCAGCTCTGTTTATTGCCTCTTTCCCCCACAGAGCTCAGCCAATGGCATCTGATGGAGTCACACGTAACTTGTCAACATCACAGGTACTGTATGAATATATTTGAGTATATTTATACTACTGAGTGTAACTATAAGCTTTGACTTGTATGAAACAAAAATACAGTAAACTTGCCTATAGTAATAAAAACTATGTGGTCCACCACCTACCTGCAAAGATCAAAGGGAGCAGCAGGAGCAGCGTATATGGGGACATTTTAATGCAGGATCTCAGCACAGCTCTAGAATTCCCCCATAGTGAAATACTTTCTAGTTTGCCTGAGAATTGGTTGTGGGAGGGATGTAATACCAAGTCATTGAAGAATGCGAAATATATTTAACAGTGGAAAAACTTGTTTTTCATCATCAACCCTATCCTTTGGCTAATAAAGTAAGCAAGCAAGTTTAACGTAACTTGAATTGCCCCTTGACCAAAAGATCTTTTGCTTGCTCCGTTTGAGTATCCCAGGGGCTGTGGATGACTTTTACAAAAATAGCAGCTCCACTGTCAAGGTGGTTTTTAGAGAAAGCAAAAGAGTCTTGTGTGAATTATTTTTCAGCTTTATACATTATAAATCAGATTGATAGTGTATATAATCTTTTTTGTACAAATAAACATTTACTACACAAGAAGAGAATCCTAAGAAGGGAATTTATCAAAACTGGAGCAGATAGAATCTGGAGCAGCTGTTCATAGCAACCAATCAGCTTCTCTCTTTCATTTTTAAAACTTAATAGAGCAACCTGAAGAGAGAAATTGATTGGTTGCCTTGGGGCAACTGCTCCAAATTCCGTCGGCTAAAACTTTGATAAATTCCCCCCTATGTATTAGCTAAGGGGAGAGCACAGCAATAACCTATTGCCTGGAAGCTTGCTTTGGTGTATATTAACGTTTGAAATCAAATTTAGGAAAACCCTTCCATATGTGTTCCTATTAATACAGCACGCTGAAAAGTAACTTTAAAAAAATTCTTACCTTTTAGAGGTTTTGTTAAATCAGGCAAAGTGGCTGATTCCAGCTTCGTCTTAGCCCTTTCTCAGTGGTCTGTCCCAATGGAAAGTCTTGGGACTGAAATTTGAGGACTGTGTTTATCTGATAAGCTTCATTAGCATACAATGGACAAGCCACCTCTGAATGGACAAATCCCCTCACCCCTCACAACCCCTTCTAATATTAAAAAAAATAGACTCAAGAATGCACTTTAACCCTTAAAACCCTAACCCATGTACGAGCTATTTAAACTGCAAGAAGCCTTTAAAACATTTTTTTTTAGCTTATGCTATATGAAAGGGAATGTGTAACAAATTTTAAATAGGTTTATCTCAATTTGGCTCCAAAAGAGAAGGCTTGTCCTCCAGACATTGGGCTGCCTGTGCATCTGCCACCTGTGAATGCAGGGAGGGAGACTGCTCAGACACCCTCAGAACAGAAGTCCGGGCCAGCACTAAGAAAAAAGAGGATTTTAAAGAAAGACCTACACAGAATGAAGGAACACACATAGACTCCAGTAAGTCTCGTATAGCTGCATTGATTTTATAGAACAAAATGTGAGATTTAATATAAAAACAAAAGAAAAAATATTTTTAAATGTCTTTCTGCTGGACCATATTAAATAAGAAAACTATATACAAATCCACTCTACATTTTGTTTAAATAGAAACTCTATATGGGCTGCTGTTCTTCTGTAGCAGGGGGTAGCCAAACTCCGGCCCTCCAGCTGTTGTGAAACTACAAATCCCATGATGCATCTCTCCCTGGAAGTCATGCCTGTGGCTGTGAGAATCCTGCAATACCTCATGGGATTTGTAGTTCCACCACAGCTGGAGAGCCAGAGTTTGGCTACTCCTGTTCTATAGCCTCCTTGTAAGCAACAGATATACCCATGTATGTGATTATAGCAAGGAGAGCGTAATCTACGTCAAGTAATAACACATTACTACATTTAATTAAAATAAGATGGGACATTTAAGATATCAAAATGAAACTCATATATTATAAACTTATATTAGAAACTTCCTGTTAAAATGTCATGCTTTTTTACAAATTATTATTATAAGTGTCTAAATGTTTTGGTGTCTGGCCCTTGGAAAGTATACCCTTTCCTTTCAGTAAATAGAAAACAGTAGCTCAATATCTGAATATTTTGTATCAGTTATACATTTAGTGCAGACCAATCACATATATAGAGATTATCAATCTATAATCTTTAGCTAGGGATGCACCGATACCAAGTACCGTAACTCGGTACAAGTACAAGTACAGATACTTTTCAAGCTTCAAGACCAGACTAGAGAAAAATTCAAAAGTTAGGAGGCAGCTGTCATTTGTAAGGAGCACACAGATCTCCTGGGATTTGTACATCTCTGTTTTAATGTATGATTTTGTTGTTATAAATATAAATAAAGGGATGCACCGATACCATTTTTGCAAGTACAAGTACTGATACTTGCCCAAGTACAAGAACATTTTTGTTTATTGCCATGTGACAGTTTTTCTAAAACAATACAGACTAATGAATTTAGGACGGTGGTGGAGCGCCAGAGCTGGATCTCCCAGCTGCAACCGCTGCAAACCTGGTAGTTCTCATGAAAATGCCAAGTATCGGCACTGGTATCTGAAAAGTATCGGTGCAGCCCTATCTTTCGCCATACAATATTCTTGCTTGAAGGAAAAGGAGTTTCATCAATTCATTTTATGTTCCAGAATTTGTTTCATCAGGTTGAGAAGAGTGTCCTTCTATATCACCATACAGAGCGCAACCACAGTGTAGATGGCTTGGGAAGACAG